ATCACCAATTATTAATTAAAGTATCCTCTTTTTAATGCAAAAAGCCGTTTTGAAAAATCACTTTTAGTACTTGAGAAATAAATTTTTAAAATAATCGATAATTTTGCAGTGCCAATACTGTAATATTGGTTGCATAGTACTTAAATAGCATCAAAATAACGCATTATATTCAATCATCCAAATCCTATAACATACGAAGCTAGACTTTAGAATTTCGTTCTTAATTACATTCATTTCTGCAATTAATTTTGCTTGCGCCTGCAAAGCAAAAAGCATCTTCAGGTCCTGGTAGTTTAATTGTAGCTTCTTGTAAAATAAATTTTGAAATTGCACTCAGCAGTTTGACGTTGAGCGTTTGTGCTCGTAGTTCCGGTGTTAGTTATATATTTGGGGTTTATTTGATATCAAATCGAGCAGATGTATATAAAAGTCGATTGTATAGCAATTTGATCCTAATAATAATAATAAGAGACGTTCAGGAAGAATCTCTCGACGTCTTCCGCGCAACGTGGACGTTCCTTTTGCGTCGACGAAGTGGGTATTGTAAAAGGGCTCGTGCGGAACACCGTCGGCGGAAGTGCGGACAGATGCTGAGGGACCATTGAAAAGCGGCGGCCTACAACTCCTCCTTCTCCTTTTCTTCGTTCCTCTTTTTTAAAAAATCGTTTCTTAATAAGGATCAGATGACATAATGAACAAGAACGCGACGTCGTCGTTGCCGTCACCTACCCTGAACAATAAAAATCCCCCTCGACTCGTGCCAGACCGGAAGTTCTGTATTTCTACAGCATTAACATCAAGCTTTAAATATTTTTTTAAAGCATACGTTTATTTTTAAAATATATTAAATATTTAATTAATAATTAATTTTGTGTCACCTTTGCAAGTATACAACCAATAACGCGATTTGCGTATTGCAATACGGATATCGTGATATTGGTTGCATACTTGACATATATATTTGAAAATGATTGAGAAATGTGGTGGAGGTGCCAGATAATTTTTCTTTGACATTTTGAAGTGATTAAATTGAATAAAAAGATGATTTTGTAGCATATGTTTCGTAAATGCGAGTTTTGCTTGAGGCCATTGCAAATAGTAAAAAGCTTATATGCCATATGTTCGGTTAAATCTGTTTTGAGAAGGGGCAAAAACCAACCCCACTCAAATCAAAAACGGTTACACGCTTACTATCGTGTACACAACAACAAAGGCAATGGTTTTATTATGTTTGTTTTATAAATTGTTAGTAAACATCTTTAATTTTAGTTTTTTCTTTTCATTTCATTCTATTTTAATTTAAAAAACATTTAAAGTCTTTAAAGGGGTACTTAAATACGATAAATCATCTATGGAACGTGTGCCGCTGGTAACAACATCCTCTGACCCTCCCGAAAACACTGTAACTACATGTAATAAACAAGGGTTTATCGAAGGTTATGAGCCACTCAACCAGTTAGTTAACCCAAGTCCGCGGCGAGGGTGCCCCAAATTGAGTGCCCCATTACTAAAATTTGTTAAACAGAAACTAAATTAAACGCAGGAAGTTATTTCATACATCGTTCTAAATTATCCTAGTTTCCTTTTAGGGTGTAAACTATTTGTTTATATCTTAAACTTATTCATACCGTGCCTTTTAACACATTATTTTTACGGTACTTTTTATTATCTTACACTACTTTAATTCATTGCAAGTATACAACCAATATCACAGTATTGGTATTGCAATACGCGATTTGCGTGTTTGGTTGCATACTTGCAATATTGATAATTAATTAACACAGTGTACTTTACCTAAATGAAATTTTTGTTTGAAATATCAGAAATATCTAGTTTACTGAGACCATAGATAAAATTGTCTATCAGAATAAACACAGAGTTATTCCTGGAGTTGTCAAAAGATTAAGAAACAACATTAATATTAACAAGAAGAACATATTGACAATGAAATGATCCAGTCAAAGCCCACACCTCAATTAGGAAACCGCAAACATGAACAAAATTTGTCTACTACTATACGTGTACTTCGATGTAAATAAAAATGTATATGGATAATAAAAAATTAAATCGTAGACGTTTTATACGGGGTGATTGAAAAGGCACAGCCAGTAAGCACGGGCGTGCCATTCTGTATTTTTTCAAAAGCACTCGAAGGATAAAACAATGCCAGCTTTGGGGGCACCGCGAAACCCCTTCGCCCGTTGCCACTTAAAACTTGTAAAAGCAATCAATATTTACTAAACCGACGAATACATATCTTCGAGTGGTTATTGTTTCTCTCTTTATTGTAGGGAAAACGGACGCGATTATTTTTTTGGTCGCGCTTACATTCGCCGAAATGTGTGTGATCTAAGAGGAAATTTAAGATTAAAAATTATACAAAAAGTTATATATAATTATTAAATTTAGATAAATATTTATTTGAAATTATTAATGTGTATGATTTTAGCTTTCCAGTGATATAGAATAAATGATTATAACTTTACTCAACGATGAGATATAAATAATTTAAGGTAATTTTATCTTTTTATTATAATTAATTTTTTTCGGAAGAATATTTGAATTAATATTTATATGAAATAATCTTAGTATACAATTTAGCTTTCTAATGATATATAATACACGATTATAACTTCACTTAACAATGTGATATTGCTAATTTTAGCGTTTTTGGTAAATTTGCTGTTTTTATTATCATTAATTTTAGAGTTTTTTCCGGAAAAACTAATATATTTGGATTGATATATATTTGAGATGATTAAAGTATATAGTTTTAGCTTTCTAACGATATAGAATAAATGATTATAACTTTACTCAACGATGAGATATTGATAATTTTAGGTCACGGCGTTTTTGGGAAATTTTATCTTTTTATTATAATTAATTTTTTTCGGAAGAACATTTGAGTTAATATTTATATGAAATAATTATAGTATATAGTTTTACCTTTCTAATGATGTATAATACACGATTATAACTTCACTTAACGATGTAATATTGATAATTTTTGCGTTTTTGGTAAATTTGTTATTTTTATTATGATTAATTTTAGAGTTTCTTCCGGAAAAACTAATATATTTGGATTGATATTTATTTGAGATGATTAAACTATATAGTTTTAGGTTTCTAATGATATAGAATAAATGATTATAACTTTACTCAACGATGAACTATTAATAATTTAAGGTCACGGCGTTTTTGGGAAATTTTATCTTGTTATTATAATTAATATTTCTCGGAAGAACATTTGAATTAATATTTATATGAAATCATCATAGTATATAGTTTTACCATTCTAATGATTATAATACACGATTATAACTTCACTTAATAATGTGATATTGATAATTTTTGCGTTTTTGACAAATTTGCTACTTTTATTATAATTAATTTAGAACACATGAATAATATATGATATAATTTCACTCAACGATGATATTTTAATATTTTTCGACCACATTGTTTTTGTTTTTTAAAATTTGCAATTTTGATATAATTAATTTTAGAGATTTTACGGTGGGACCAACAAGTTTGAATTAATGTTATAGTTCTGCCATTCAAATGACGTACAATAGTTAGTTAATCATACTTTTTCGCACTTTTTAATTTTTAATTTTAGCGTTTTTGACAAATTTGCTACTTTTATTATAATTAATTTAGAAATTTTTCCATAAGAACTAACCTAATCATAACACATGAATAATATATGATACAATTTCACTCAACGATGATATTTTGATATTTTTCGACCACGTTGTTTTTGTTTTTTAAAATTTGCAATTTTGATATTAATTTTAGAGATTTTACGGTGGAACCAACAAATTTGAATTAATATTATAGTTCTGGCAGTCAAATGACGTACAATAGTTAGTTAACCATACTTTTTGGCAGTTTTGAATTTTTAATTTTAGCGTTTTTGACAAATTTGCTATTTTTATTATAATTAATTTAGAGATTTTTCCATAAGAACTAACCTAAGCATAACACATGAATAGTACATGATATAACTTCACGCAACGATGATATTTTGATATTTTTCGACCACGTTGTTTTTGTTTTTTAAAATTTCCTTTTTTGATATCATTAATTTTAGAAATTTTACGGTGGAACCAACAAATTTGAATTAATATTATAGTTCTGCCATTCAAATGACGTACAATAGTTAGTTAACCATACGTTTTCGCAGTTTTTAATTTTTAATTTTGACGTTTTTGACAAATTTGCTACTTTTATTATAATTAATTTAGAAATTTTTCCGGAAGAACTAACCTAATGATGTAACACATGAATAATACATGATATAACTTCACTCAACGATGATATTTTAATATTTTTCGACCACGTTTTTTGTTTTTTAAAATTTGCAATTTTGATACCATTCATTTTAGAGATTTTACGGTGGAACCAACAAATTTGAATTAATATTATAGTTCTGTCATTCAAATGACGTACAATAGTTAGTTAATCATACTTTTTCGCAGTTTTTAATTTTTAATTTTGGCGTTTTTGACAAATTTGCTACTTTTATTATAATTAATTTAGAAATTTTTCCGGAAGAAGTAACCTAATGATGTAACACATGATATAACTTCACTCAACGATGATATTTTGATATTTTTCGACCACGTTGTTTTTGTTTTTTAAAATTTGCAATTGGAACCAACAAATTTGAATTAATATTATAGTTCTGCCATTCAAATGACGTACAATAGTTAGTTAATCATACTTTTTCGCAGTTTATAATTTTTAATTTTAGCGTTTTTGACAAATTTGCTACTTTTATTATAATTAATTTATAAATTTTTCGATAAGAACTAACCTAATCATAACACATAAATAATATATGATATAATTTCACTCAACGATGAGATATTGATAATTTTCGACCATGTTGTTTTTGTTTTTGGAAATTTGCAATTTTGATATGTGATATGCAAGTTTTCCCATAAATGACCTCGTCTCCAACAAAAATATATTTTTATAAAGACCTAAAAACTTACCTTAAATGTGTAACCCGCAAGCATCAAGTTTTTAAAACCCCAGGTTGTTAATAATAAACCAAGGATAAACTAAAGTGCACATCAACATTAATTGAACTGAAATAATAAAAACTGTTTTTCACTGATGTCTCGAATCACCACTTTGAAACGCAAAAATAACGCGGCGTTTTTGAAAATATTTCCTGATTTATCGCATTTTGGTTTTTTAGCACATATTATATGAATTCGAAGGTCGAAGGTCAGAAGGCTGCGGGAAGAGCAAAGGACCAAGGAGCCAAGGAACGACGAGTAACCGTTAGCTGGTGGTCCAACGCGATCCCCACTTCAGTATCCAAAGGGCAAATAGGTGTATCTTTGGAATAGAGGATCCAGCGGACCCAGTATGGTTCTATACAACCAATGGCATCGTCCAAAGGATGTGCTCACTTTAGGTTATTTCCGTGCCACCAATCGGCGAACGGCTCGTTGGCCTCTTCCAGGGCAGGAACGCGGCAGGGGCGGTGCTTATACCGGGTACCTAGTTAGCAGGGTCCCCGGGGATCTGCAGCTGTTCGTTTGTCGATTCCCGATTCTTTGACGGCGCTTGCTCAGTTACTACACCTGCCCTTCGACTGGCCGCCTCTCTCGACTAACTTTCTAACTACAAATTTTCTTGGTGATCATTTCATGCTGATCTCTCAATGTGAACACTCTTTCTTATTTTCTTCAAAATTATAATGTTAATTAATTTAACATTAATCTTATTTTTACAAAATAAACAAGATTTCGTATTGAGTCAAAAAAAAATTTATTAGCTACCACTTCATTCGAGATACTTCAGATTTAAGTTGAGATACCTTACATTCAAGTACATTTTGTACACGTAAGCACAAAACGATCAAAAATGAGTGTTAATTAATTATCGTACTCGACGTCATCATTACAAGATGCAACCAATATCACAATATTCGTATTGCAATACGCTAATGGCGTTATTGGTTGCATATTATGACGTCGGGTACGATAATTAATTAAGACACTGTATATATCTATGTTCCTTATAACACCCAAATGCATTAACACTTAATATCAAAGAATGTAAAATTAAATATGATTTAATGGACACTTATCGTATTATAAAGGTTTTGAAGTTATTTAATATAGAGTTAGAGACGAAGTGGTTCAGAAAATGGGGGCTTGAAGAAGTTATTAACCACTCGTGAAAGAGAAAAAAAAAGCGAATTGCCGAATGAAAAAATATTGGAGTTTCTTGAAAAAAAAAAAAAAACGTGGGGAGAACCGTCGGTAGACGAAGTCGTAATAAATTCATGCGGATTCGCCCACCGAGTTGGAAATTTGAATTTCTTTGTGATGACGCCCTCGACGTCGGGACCTTTGATTTTATCGGAAGAGCTGTCGTTATTTTTACGGGTAGTGCTTTTGATGTGGAAATTTTCTTTTATTTTGTTCATATACATATAATTATATTTTTGCATAAAAATTTTTTAACTTGTAAATGTATTACATATACGAGTTGATCTGTGCGTGTCATCCAATTATACAGACTCATACGAGGTTTACGCGAGTTTTATACCAGCGGCTTTCCTAAAAGGATCTTCAAGTACTCTTCAATTCCTCTTGCCCTTGTTCGGATTGATGTCTCGTCCTCGTATTTAATAGGATTGATCTCGATTTTTTTAACGCGTCCCTTTCCCTAACGACTGAACGACTAATGATATGTCGTCCTAATCTGCAAATCTACCCTTCCCTAATTTTCTAATAGCACCTATCGCGCGAAAAGCCCTTTTCACAAAAGCTGCCTTTGACAGCCTCCATTAAATCCTCACCATGTGAGGGGTTTATAGGATACGCATCAAATTCACTTTTATTTCATCTCTTGTGTATTTAGTTTATATCGATCTAAGTGATTTAAAAACAAGCTTGACCAACATAAATAATACTGTGACATCTAAGAACAATTTTTTTAAGTTTTCTAAATCAGCGCCATCTGTATTTCATCGTATAATGTAATATTTATATTTAAGAGATTCCTACAATAATTTTGAATTTAATTCAACCTTTCTCGGATAGAGGGAGATATAATTTTAATTTTCGCCGATAATGCAGAGATCTTCCCCGTCAATTCTGCGCTATATTATCAAAATAATTTACTGTCAAATGATATGGTTATGAAATATAATGCCAAAACATAAGATGATAGCCAAAGGTTGCCCGAAATGTGAACAGCAAGTAAGTACAATATCAAATTTCGTTACGAAATGTTTTAAATACGATACGATTAGGTACCAGTGGCGTGCAAAGCATGCCCTTGTGGGTATTCGTTTTTCAATGCAAGACGAACGAGCAAAGTTTTATCACAATCGGATGATCGACGTAGAACTCAACGTGTTCGTCGCGAAAAACCCGATTATTACGATATATTAGAATATGATAAACAAATTAAGAAGGTAAAATAGATTGTTATTATATCCTATGGTAATTATGAGTGATTTGCTTAAGAGGGGTTTGTTTAAGACAAAAGCAAGGAATAGCGAATGTGAAAATGATGAAGATGGCAGTAAAAGGGATGCGTCAAAACCCAGAAGGAAAAAGGTGAAAAAAGAGGAGGAAGAAGAAGATGATGTTATGTTAGGTCTAAGTATTGAAAAGCAAAATCAATGTGCTGTTATCTTAGAAGAATTAAACAGAAAAATGCAACTGGTTATGTGGAAACCAACATAAATGGATGTTTAAATAAAATAGGTTTTTAAATTTTAGAAAACTTATAATGACTCATTTTTTTAAATACATTAATATGTTATACTATAACACAGTTTTGTAAATCAATGGATTAATTAATGGTGTAACTGATTACATAAATATATATAAATACATATATTATTTTAAAAATTGAATTATTAATTAATAAAGTACTAATAAAGTTGAATATGCACAATACTGTACCACTAAAACAATGTTATAAATTAAATATGTTAATTAAAAGCATTCCACTACGGAAGACATAGATATAAAGATAATCAATTGGCAAGGAATTATATTCTTTTCATTTTTTGGACGGTAACATTCACTTTTTTTCACGTCTTTGGTCCTATTAATCGCTTTATATATCACGACTAGGAGATATGCTATGTCCACTTTTTTATAGATATTGTCTCCCGCAGTTTATTATAGGATTTAGTTATAATTATTAAAAATAATTGTTTCAACGAATTAAATAACATATTTTATTATTTATATATATATGATGTGGCAGAAAGTAAGGGTTGAAACGATTAATAAGATTTAGGGAGGGAAATTCTTACAATTATTATGCTACCACATAGCGCCAAGGAACAAAAGACAGTATAGTTACGCATTTGTTTCAAAGTCACCCCTCCTTTTTGCCACACCCCTATTAAACAATACAGAATCTTCAAATAGATTAATAAAATATAATTAAAATTAATTTAAAATAAATTTGAACAATACTATAAAATACAAAATATAAGTTAAACATGGCAGGAACACAAAAAGATTTTTTCGAGATTTTTTGAACTACAAAATTGCGTTAATAATTAATTCGTATTAAAAAAAAAAAAAATGGTAACTTTAATAACTTATATTTTGTTTTACAAAAACAAGTGTTTATTTTAACTTTTAGAGAATAAAATAATTTTTAATTATTTGGAAGTACGAATGTTAAGTCGTAAATAAACACCCTGTATATTTAATTTGTCCGAAACTCAACATTCGGTAGTGGTTTCCTCTTGATTGGCGTCCCGATTGTCACGCTTAACAAATGGTAATAGTCCCCAAATTGAAGCACCAATAATCAAAACGACACCCAAAGAGGAAAAAAGCGACGAATAAGAATTGGTTTTTTCGATCCATAAACCGCAAAGCGGCGGGCCAACTAATTGTATTAATCCGTTAACGAATAATGAAATACCATACGATGATTGTATGCGTTCGGTACCGAGCAAATCCGCCATTATAACAGCTGTGACACCGACGTAAATGCCGGAAGCTAAACCGAATATACCGCAAATACCCCAAATTACTTTAATATCACTTGCTAACGGCAATAATGCTAAAGATATTCCACTTATTAAAAGACCACCGATAAAATAAGCTTCTTTTGGTATTATTGGTAAATCTGATAAAGCTGAACCACCAATTCTTCCAGCTAAATCAAAAGCGGATACAATAGAGAGCAACAGTGCACCGCTATCTTTACCAAAACCTAATACTAACGCATACGATGGTAATAAAATAATAAAATTTGTATAACTTATAGCGTTTGTACAATTTGATATTAATATAATTAAATAAACGGGATCTTTTAATAGCGTGATATCAAATAATTTGTTTTTTGGTTTCACTTCGTCTTTGGCAGCCGATTTTAAACTAAATGTACTCGCGATCATTTCCGGTTGTAACGTTAATGTACTTCCGTGATATGGTGTCGAAACGTATTGAAACGAACTTGTTGACGGACTTCTTTTCGGCGTTCGACTTCGTTTTACGTTTAACAATTTATTTTGAATCTCATTTTCCGGTACCGCATCTAGACCGGAAGTACTATTTAAATAACTCAAACCGGAAGAACTATTTTTATTACTTCTTAAAGCAGCGCCGCTTCTTACTCTCGTTAATTCACCTTTAGATGTCGCGCTTATTTTACGTTCCTTCGTGCTTGGACTTCGAAAAAACGAATCTTGAGTTGTATCCGCGAATGAATTGTTTCTAGTTAAGTTTAAACCGCTTTGATCATCGCTACTAAGTTGGAACGTTGGACGAAACAACGGATGATCTTCCGGTTCTTCTTCTTCATCTTCTTCGATGATTTTATCCGTATTTTTTGGCACTTTTATCATGTGCTTTTCAACGGGTTCATAGAAAAGAGCCGCAACCCAAACGTTTAACGTTACTCCACCCATTATTAATACCGCACCTCGGTAACCATAATTCGTTAAAAGTATTCTTAAAAGTGGTGGTAAAATTATTGAACCGATCGCTGATCCAGATATGCATATTCCATTTGCTAATCCGCGTAATCTTTCAAAATAATTTGTTACTATATACACGGTGGGTGGAAACGCCAATCCAGCTCCTGTTCCAACCAATATTCCATAACTATAAAAAAAAGAATTAACATTAAATAAATCTTGTAAGTAAATAATACAATATAAAGAAATTAAATTTTCGACCAATCGGGAAAGATGGTTCGTTCAAGACAGTACGTCGCGCCTTATCTTATCAACATGAAGAAATAAGGCGCGACGTCCCGTCTCTGGAACACACACCAGGGCCATCTTTTCCTCCTCGCCCCGCATGATGTCTAACTAAATCGCGATTTTCCGCCGCGAAACTATATGGAACATCGAAAAAATAAAACATACCCCTTATTAAGAACACATCAAGCTACCCACCCGTTCAAAATTGAAATTCTTTCGTCCGATAGTTTTTGAGAAAAAAAATCGCAAAGTGGATAAAGTAGCCGGTAACGTAAAAAATCGATTTAACTCGCGATAAAAAGAAAACCGCTGATCCGAAAGTTATCAAAATAACATATGTTACGTAAAAATATTCTGTGATTACAACAAACCTTGTTGCAATCTTTTTTATCTAGCGGTTGCGGAGATATCGATCTCTAAACTGAGGGGCCTTGACTTTTTGCACCGATAGTAGTTTAAAAATACTTCATAAAGGAATGACCTTGAATTTTAGCACAACCCTACATAAATAAATATTGTAAGTAAATAATTCAACATTAAGAAATGAAATTTTAGTCCAACCCTACTATCCGTGCCAAAAATCAAGGCAAATCACTTTAGATATCGATAAAATATCCTTTTCCGTCCATTCGGAAAAGATGGTGCGTTCCAGACAGTACGTCGCGCCTTTATATTACCCACATAAAGAAATAAGGCGCGACGTCCCGTCTCTGAAACACACACCAGGACCATCTTTTCCTCCTCACCCTGCATGATGCCTAACTAAATCGCGATTTTCCGCCGCGAAACTATATGGAATATCGAAAAAATAAAATATGCCCCTTATTAAGAACACATCAAGCTACCCACCCGTTCAAAATTGAAATTCTTTCGTACGATAGTTTTTGAGAAAAAAAATCGCAAAGTGGATAAAGTCGCCGGTAACGTAAAAAATCGATTTAACTCCCGATAAAAAGAAAACCGCTGATCCGAAAGTTATCAAATTAACATATGTTACGTAAAAATATTCAGTGATTATAACAAACTTTGTCGCAATCGTTTTTATCGAGCGGTTGCGAAGATATCGATCTCTAAAGTGAGGGGCCTTCACTTTTTGCACCGATAGTAGTTTAAAAATACTTCATAACGAAATGACCTTGAATTTTAGCACAACCCTACATAAATAAATATTGTAAGTAAATAATACAATATTAAGAAGTGAAATTTTAATCCAACCCTACTATCCGTGCCAAAAATCAAGGCCCCTCACTTTAGAGATCGATAAAACATCGTTTTCCGTTCAATCAGAAAAGATGGTGCGTCCCAGACAGTACGTCGCGCCTTTATCTTACCCACATAAAGAAATAAGGGGCGACGTCCTGTCTCTGGAACACACACCAGGACCGTCTTTTCCTCCTCACCCCGCATGATGTCTAACTAAATCGCGATTTTCCGCCGCGAAACTATATGGAACATCAAAAAAATAAAATATACCCCTTATTAAGAACACATCAGGCTACCCACCCGTTCAAAATTGAAATTCTTTCGTCAGATAGTTTTTGAGAAAAAAAATCGCAAAGTGGATAAAGTCGTCGGTAACGTAAAAAATCGATTTAACTCGCGATAAAAAGAAAACCGCTGATCCTAAAGTTCTCAAATTAACATATGTTACGTAAAAATATTCAGTGATTACAACAAACTTTGTTGCAATCTTTTTTATCGAGCGGTTGCGGAGATATCGATCTCTAAAGTGAGGGGTCTTGACTTTTCGCATCGATAGTTGTTTAAAAATACTTCATAAAGAAATGACCTTGAATTTTAGCGCAACCCTACATAAATAAATATTGTAAGTAAATAATACAATATAAAGAAATTAAATTTTAGGCTAACCCTACTATCCGTGCCAAAAATCAAGGCCCTTCACTTTAGATATCGATAAAATATCCTTTTCCGTCCAATCGGAAAAGATGGTGCGTTCCAGACAGTACGTCGCGCCTTTATATTACCCACATAAAGAAATAAGGCGGGACGTCCTGTCTCTGGAACACACATCAGGACCATCTTTTCCTCCTCACCCCGCATGATGTCTAACTAAATCGCGATTTTCCGCCGCGAAACTATATGGAATATCGAAAAAATAAATTATGCCCCTTATTAAGAACACATCAAGCTACCCACCCGTTCAAAATTGAAATTCTTTCGTCCCATAGTTTTTGAGAAAAAAAATCGCAAAGTGGATAAAGTCGCCGGTAACGTAAAAAATCGATTTAACTCCCGATAAAAAGAAAACCGATGATCCGAAAGTTATTAAATTAACATATGTTATGTAAAAATATTCAGTGATTACAACAAACTTTGTTGCAATCTTTTTTATCGAGTGGTTGCCGAGATATCGATCTCTAAAGTGAGGGGCCTTGACTTTTCGCACCGATAGTAGTTTAAAAATACTTCATAAAGAAATGACCTTGAATTTTAGCGCAACCCTACATAAATAAATATTGTAAGTAAATAATATAATATTATGAAATGAAATTTTAGTCCAAAAGTCAAGAGATCGATATGCGAAGATATCGATAAAATATCCCTTTTCGTTCAATCGGAAAAGATGGTGCGTTCCAGACAGTACGTCGCGCCTTTATCTTACCCACATAAAGGAATAAGGCGCGACGTCCTGTCTCTGGAACACACACCAGGACCATCTTTTCCTCCTCTCCCCGCATGGAGTCCAACTAAATCGCGATTTTCCGCGAAACTATATGGAATATCGAAAAAATAATAGAAAAGTATCGCTCGCAAACTAATGATGAGCAGAATTTGCGTAAAGACTGCAAAGGGACTTGATAGAGGTGAAGACAAAAATAATACTTGAGTGTGTTAATTCATTTCCTTCTTACCTTATATAAAGATAATTAACAGAATCAGCATAAAAGCTAATGATCATACCAAGAGCAGAAGATGTTCCACCAATAAGAGTAACAGTTCTATAAGAATATTTGAGTGAAAGTATGCTCGATAATGGGCCTAAAAATAAAATAAAATAAAATAATTAGAAAAAATTAAAAATAAATGAAATGTATTTACCTAAAGAGCTGTAAAGGAAGTAACATAAAGCTGGTATCCAAGCGGCTGCAGAAGGTCCAGCATCAAATACTTCAAGAAATTCGACGAAAAGTACGCCAAACGATTTAACGGTTCCTGGAATGAGGATGTTTACTAACGTGGCCCCAAAAAGGACCAACCAACCCCATCCTCCATCCGGTGGTACTAATTTCCAATTCCGCATATTTTTCTCATTACTTTCTTTGATTGAGACACCTTTAGAAAAAATTATACGAGTATTGATAAAAAATGTTATCGATATTAAATGTTGATATTTACGATTTGTATTTTTCATTTGGCATCCGAACAAATATACACAATGAATATTACCTTTTTACAATCGTTGACATTGAACCTCGTTTCTTTCCAAGTAAACAAAGTCATTACCCGATGGTTCTTTATTTTTTGTACATTTTTAAATTTACTCGTCGAGTTCATCTTCGTATCTTACAACTCATTATTTAATTGTTATTTTAATCAAAATCGATTGGGTCAAAACTTATTAACAACAAACTAAATCTGATTTATTTTGAAACTCTTTTAAGATTGTCAATCGTTTTTTTCTCTTCATACACGTGGAAATTTTCCGCGGAAACCAAACCATGTTCGGCCTATTCCTCGTGTTTTTCGTTCACTTACCGAATATGTCAGTGGAAAAATCAATACCGATGTAGTTAACTGTACAGTTTTAATCAAAAACTTTCCATAATGTATTACTTTCTTTATTATTGTTCCTTTTGAGATTGTAACTTTATATCAAATATTACCCACGCGGATATATAAGTGAATCATGCATATGATAAGGAGTCACCACACATTAAAGTAAGCAATATCAAACCGTAAATAAAAAGATTTTTTTATTACCTTAAAACAAAGAAATATTCGATTTTTGTTGGTGAATAATGATTAAAGGATGTTGATTAAATTTTAAAACGCTTAATCATTTTTAAAATTTTTCAACAATGTTTGTACAATTAAGACATTCCAGATTGTTTGAAATTTTTTAAATCATTTTAACGATTTCGAAAATATTTATCTGTACCGATAAATTAAACTGCACTTCAATTGCATTTAATGTTTGTTTCAGTTAGAACTGGATAAAAGCGGGTCGAAGTTAAACGCTATTAAACCTTTCTGGGAAAAACCACAAGAAAAACCATCACTCTTTGTGTACACAAAACAAGGACAAAGAGTTTATAAACACAAAGCTTTTCTTTAAATTTTTTAACTTACCTCGTTTAATTTTTTTTGATTCATTTTCTTTCCTAGAATTGTTTTTCTCAGACATTGTCACGTTGTTGTACTTCCAAAAACACAAATATCGTCACGTCCATGATACGATATATAAAAATTTGATTTGGTAAATTTTTCACTTAAATTGAAAATACTAAGATCGTTCACTACGAAATTGATTTAAACAGAAGCCGAGGTTCGATATTTGATGGGAAAAACTGATAGTTGATTGTGAAACGTGCCGATAAATAAAGATTACGATTCTCACATTTACACGTTTTAAAATCGAATGGCGAAGCGAAAAACGACTCAAAAACGTAGTCAGCACGTTCTGGCTGATAGACAGGCAGAACTGACTGACTGAGCAACGCTTATTTTTCTCCATGCTATTCCGTTTTCAATGTTAACTCTCTCGTTTTACACGTCTATTATTATATCTCGACTTTTTATTCCTTTGTGGTACGCAACCAAACAAGCATTTCTCTCTCGCTCTTTTTGAGGTGTCCTCATTTTTAAGTCTATTTCAGATTTTTTATTTAAGAATATTAAACAACTTGATTTGAAAATAGTATTGACGTAATAAAACCGTATGATGCATTGGAAACATTATACATTTATTTTTATTTGTACAGCTTTATATTCTTACCAAAGCTAGATTACTAATTTACAGTATACGAGTTTCTTTTTTTGTTTTAGTTTTGAAAAATATAAAAATGAGAACAATAAAAACATTTGTTCACAAATAATGGAAGGTTTTTTTACTTTTACTCAGCGTGCTTCTTCCATTATTTGAGAAAATCTTGAAATGGCAAAAAAACTGTTCAAATACTACCATGTCTTCAATACTATATTTTGTAATCAAGTAAAGAAACGAAATAATAATATTCGATATAACGAACGAACAATAATATTAATAATCATAGTTAAAAATAAATTTTATATATATATATAAAATATATATGTATACTATATATATATATATAATACTTACTTAATTACAAATTATGTAATTATAGTTACACTAATTAATTAATTAATTGAGAGTATTACCTACAGCCAGAAAAATATCACCACATATTTTAAACTACATATTTCTCAAAATCTACCGTATGATCCACTACTTTGCTCATTTTTTTGAGAGTCCATAATTAAAGTATATTTACTTTTACGTTTCTTGTCAATTATGTCGCTTCACTTCCCTCAATAGAACAATAATAGCTAAAAAGTGGGTGTCTCGTGAGTTGTTTTGTTTCACTTTGTGAATATATTGCATCGTATACGAAAACAAAAATACGGTCTCATTTTTTTCTTTACATAGAAGTAACAACTGATAATATAAAAAACACCACGGTTGGTATTTCTTTTGTACATTTATTTAATCATAAGGGACATATATAAAGCATTCGCACAATTATACCACATACAAAAAAATGGGTAATGGAAAAAACCGTTAAAATTGGGGAGAGGACGGAGAAAATGGATAAAAAATGAAAATTTCAAATAAAAATAAGAATTAAAACGAAAATTTCATCAGGCATACTCAACACCGCACCACCCAGTACCTATAGATACTTTTTAGATTAATTTTTTTAATAATTGAAAGAATAATTTATAATTTGATCGATTTTGTTTTTGAGAGGTTTATTCTAAGGAACTAAAAACGGAAAATTAAAGAAGAATCTATTCAAAAAAGTCTTTTTATAAATGCTGTTTTATTAATTATACACATCGCAACTACGATAGTGTGGCCATAACGGAAATGTACCTAGTTTTGATTACATTATCATAATTTTCGTATATTTTCAAGGTGTTTCCGCTCAGTTATTATATTATTTATTTATATAGAAATTAAAAAAAAGATTAACCTCATATTCGCTAGGTAAAATTTTTCCTGTCGATGTTATAATAAACAAAAATATATATAATAATAATAATACTCGAAAGATATACTAATAAAAGAATTATTTTATGTAAAATGGAAATTATTTACATCATTCGATATCGAACTATTATAATAGAAAGTATTCAAACTACAGGAAAAATAACTATATAATACACTAGATGTTGCATTAACACGACAATAACGTATACGAAAATAATTCCTATTTAATTACAAGATCCGTAGTAACAATAACTAAATAAAGCGGAACAGTGGATGAATCGCACAAAAAAATCTACACAAGAAACGGACAAAATAAAATAATAAAAATTAAAAATTATCCTGCTGAGTTGCCAAAGCATTTCATATAAACTTTGGAAGTTAAAAATTTACATCACTTTCCATCACGCTGCACGTCTACACGTTTTATATGTATTATTATTTATAAAAAAAGAACTGCATACCAAATGTAAACGGACAGGCCACCGCGTTTTCACAACAACAACATATACTTTGCCTTATGTTCAAAGGTCTTATTTGTTCAAGGATCGTATTGTACTTTGAAAACTTTCATCATTTTTTTTTATTTTCGAGATACATACAAACGCAATTTTATTTATATATATATATTTATATATGTACCTGTTTTTTAACTATATACAGCGTATATACAGGGAAAATATACACGTATACGCGCACACACGCGTTTGTATGAGCAGCGCACGCGTGTACGCGTATATATACACATACAATGAATTCTTTTATTTGCAATTAAAATTTTGTTTGTACATGAAAACAAAAAAAAAACCTCGGTCGTATGATAAAGCATATGGAAAAGTGATAGGGTATAGAACGACACGACTATGAAAAACTAGTGGTAAAAATGAAAGGAGAAGCTTTATTCCAGTCTTTTTCTTGGTCACTTTGTATTGCCAGCAGTTTAAAGGCGGGTCTGGCCGGTGGTGTTCGCGATATTCGTAATAATCGCGGTGTTCGCAAAGCGTAGTTAAAGAGACAGTGTACAAGTACGAGGTGGTGTGGTGCTTTGAAAGAAACGAATAAATACATAATTAACATGAATGTATAACATTTTCATTTTTTTTCTTTTCTTCCAGAAAGACAATTGCTTAATTTACAAAATGGTACACGGATTATACTACGTCGGATAAGTTTTAACGGAGAAATCGTATTTAGAAATCTCCACATTATTCTTGGATCGACACTTGACGACCTCACACTTTTCACTTAATTATCGGTAGATTAGGTAGAAGTATTTTTATTTTTATTTCTTTTATTTTTCATTTAAATCACTCTATACATTTCTGTACACGGTCTGCAGTCCAAAAAAAAAACAGTCCGAAACAGTCCAAAGGCCGCAAAAGTATCTACAAGGGGATTAGCTGTGGGATATCTTGTACAGCACCTTCGACAAAAGTAACGCCACCTGCTGGTCGAGTATTTGGCTCATCACTAACGCCAGCAAACGCGACTCTTGCTGAACGAGTAGAGGCCTATTATCCGGATGTTCCGCTAAAAAAACTAACGTGGACGCGGCACGTCTAAGCATGTCCAAACTAGTTCCCATCGAATCGGGGTTTTCGCGTAGGGCCGATATACCGTGTTGATTGGCGACACCTAACGCGCTCATTTCGGCCTGTTCGATAAAGGCCACCAACAGCGAAACGCACGGCTGCTGAGACGCGACCACGCGTGCCATACAACTGTCGGCTGCGGCCAAATAATGTAGTAAGTTTATCGAAAACTCCCGCAATACTTGATCTTCGGACCGGCACAAGTGCTTCGTCAATACCGCACATAGCCGTTCTAAACGCGAAAACGGTGGCGTCGCAATAACCAGGTCCACGTTATTATTGGTCACGCACAATTTGCAGAGCGCTTCCAACGCCAACCGTTGCGGCGACAACAACGACGACGAACCCACAGAGTGAAACGGATCTTGACCCTGCGCGGACGGACATATCGCCCAGTGAAGCAATCCGTCCAATAACGGCCGAGCTACCTCTTCCGGATATTGATCCAGATTTATTTGACCGGCGACGTTGGCTATTGATACCAAAATATTTTCTCGTATCTGCAGCAGGAAATCCCACCACCATTCTCCTTCGCCTTGTAAACTACTGCAAGAATCCGAGAAGTCGGCATCCTCCTAAGAGCAAACAGTTTATAAACATCTCGATTCAAACAATCACAAGACTAATAAGAATAAATAATCGAAATATTTAGATCTTACCTCGCGATCATAATTTCTAGTTTTTAGTGTGCGCAGTGGATGTTCATGATGGAATAGTAATAATTTTCCCACTAATGCCAAAAACGTAGAACTGCGCGCATATTCGGCTTCGTTCCCAGGCACGAATGTCAAGCTGCGCAGAATGTTTGATATGCAGATGCATCGTCTACCCACGCAATCCTGACTTTCCGTAAGTAAAACCAAACTGGCTTCATCACGACTGTAGGCTTCGTCTTCGTAGTCGGACATACGGCGCCGTTTTAAGGTGCATGCTGTATCCTTAATGTTGAGACAGGTACCGTTGGCGTTATTTCCAGTTCCGTTAACGCCGCCTACGGTTGTTGTTGCGGCAGGAACAACGGTTGCCGTTGTAGTTGTTGCTGTTGTGGGAGTCGTAACTGGCGATGCTACCGTCGCCGCCTTCAGATCTTTCGGCTCGTCGCTAGCGGGTTCAGTCTTAATGCGGCCCTTAATGTCCGAAGGTAACGTTCCGTTTTCCTCGGACGCGGACTCCTTTTTAATTCGAGATATCACATCACTTAAAGTTTTTGTCCTTCGCTTTATTTTCTCACTAATATTTGTTACGTCTGGCGGCGGAGGCGGCGTTCGAGGCGTTTCCACTTCTTTTCCAATCCACGGTGACGACGACGACGACACGGGAGGCTTCGTCTCCGATTTAGCTTTTTCTTCCAATTTTCTGCTGAATGGTATTCGTCCGAATTCAGCTTGAAATGTCGGAAGTATATGTTCCGACATTTGGTGCCAAGGATCGGTGATTACCTCGGCGAGTAAATCGATACCTGCCGCGTCTCCTCTGGTATCCCAATTTTTATGATGATCTCTAACGAATATATCTTCGCTTCTATCTATTAATTTTATCGGACACCCTTTCCTACTATTAAGTGTATAATTTTCCGTTTTGTTCAACACTAAAGTTCTGTTATCAGGGTCTATTGGAGTCACTACACCCCCAAGGTCCACTTCTACTTCTATCGATTCGTCGGTACTTTCTTTATCCTTCTCCTTTTCGACCTTTGGGAAAGGACCGTCAAACATGTCGGATAAATTTTTTCGTAAATGCTCTAAAAGCAGATCTAGCAAACCGTGCCACTGATTCAAACAAAAATAACCCACTGACGAGTCGTCAAATAACAGTACGTTTAATACGTCCAACGCGTAACAACTCTCTAAAAGTAAACCTGAACGTAGACACATTATCACGCGCCAGGCGTCTATCGATCCCAAATCCGTTCGACATATTCGTTTTTTACGATAAAGCACCGGCATCGTAGCTTCAACGCTTTCAGGTGGAAACGTAATTTCTCGTTTCGGAAGTTGGCTTTGGTTGTACGAACCCGATGGCGGCACCTGCGCTTGCGCACTTTTACCCGGTTGTTGTGGCTGCATATTGAAGGGTTTTCCTGGCCGCGGACCCATTGGTGGTCTCAACGCGGAATTTGGTGGCACTCCGGGCGTTGGTATACCCGACCACGGTTGGTTTCCTTGCGGTGACGGCTGATATCCTTGGTTAGGCGAGTATCTATCCCATTGTCCAGGTTGCCTATTACCTTGATTCCATTGTTGGCCACCCGTACCTGGTGTGTATTGACTTCTAAATTGATTATTATTCGTCCAACCGGCTAATAAAGTAAGAAAGCAAAGTGAGTCTTAAATTGTTTTAAATTGTCAACAAAATTGATCTCAACTTACTGTAAAGTTGGGGTCTCTGTTGACCATACTGTGGGTAACCTTGTTGATCCTTTGCAAAGTCCGGATGTCTTCTTGGTGGCGGAGGCATGTTTTTGTTTTGAGGTTGCACCCCAGGATAACTTCCACTCCCAGCGTTTGGTTGTTGTCCCGGATAATTCTAAGAAATAATTCTATTAAAAAACAAAAACTAATCTATTATTATCTTACTAACCTGTTGGTTAGGCGAATAATATTCTTGTTGTCCCGCGTAAGGCGTAGGTGGTTGAGCTGGGGGCGGTGCACCGCTACTAGGTGGTGGTCCACCGTATCCCCCAGTCCTTGCTGTGTATCCGCTTCCTGGAGCGTTAGCCATTCCGTAGCGCGTATACGAGTCTTGTCCTTGTGCCGCAACTCCTTGCGTATTAGTGGCCGATGTGGCGGCTGCGTTATCACCGGTATAAGGTGTTGGATTATATGGTCTAGGTGAAGCATATCCCGTTCCACCAGCGTATGCAGAATATTGGTCTGGTGGAGCTCCGGGTCCTGGACCTGGATATTGATTATAGCCGGCTTGGCCGGCGTAACTTTGTCCTTGGCCTTGTGGGCGTGGTGGAGTTGCTGCTGAATACGGTGGATGAGTTCCACTTGGGAACGGACCTCCTCTTGGTGGCGGACTTGGAGAGACATCGTCAAAAGGATTAGAAACATTTACGTTATCAGAAGGACCTCCGGCTGGATTCGAAGTTGTTGAAGGAGCGCTACCCATGTGATTTGCATTTCCAGCACCTTAATAATTAATAAATAAAGGAATTTGACTAAGATTTTGTAGCATTCAAATACAGAAAGAATGGTTTTCTTACCTGCATGCGGCGACGGTGCATTTATTTGGGAGGAAGTTCTTTGAGATGGTGCATTAAAATCAGGGTTCGTTCCCGGAGGATAACCATACCCAGAATATCCGTCCATAGATTGTCCGCCAGATCCTGGAGCTGGAAAAGAATCCTGAGAATTTGAAGATCCGGGAGACGGCACCGAAGCGGCCTTTGCGCCTTTTTTCTTTGAGCTTGCTTCTACTTGACTTATAATAGGTTGGGGATCGATTCCGCCTCTATCAAACTGACATTCGTAGGCGAGTAAGTTTTTCGTGTAATGTTTGCGAAGCGTGTACGCAGCGCTGGACGACGCGCCGATTCCCAGCATACCAGCTATATCTTTCCATGTTTTGTTCTTTGTAACCTGGTTAATAATCATGGTAAAAAGAAACTTAGAAAGGATTCCTCAATGATATATCTCGCATGAATTTACCTCCATAAATCCGCCCCGTTCCTTAACGTAAACATATAACCTAAACAAGTCTAAGGGATTCTTCGATATGGTGGGACAAGTTGTTATCGGAGAACGACGTTCCTCCATGAAAGCTAAAAGTTTGTCCAGCCACGCTCTCCTTTCCGGACTATCGTCCATTTCGTATAATTTACTCAAGCTATCCGTTTTCTGTAATTTTCGAATTAAAACGTTAGCTGCATCAGTTAAATTGATTGACGAGTTAGTATAAGCGCTATTGCAAAACAAAAAAATAACCATGCTAAGCATGCTATGACAAGCGGTAGGACAGATAAGTAAATTATATAAACCTTTGATCTGTACGTGTCCGTTGGTGGCACATGACTATTAAAAACCTGTAAATACCACTAAGTTAGCCAAAAAATTTTATCAAATGTAAATGTGCAAGAAAAGGGTTTGCTTGAATTATACCAAAATATACTTTAGTACACGAGAATTTTTAAAATAAATTTAAAAATAAAAAATCCATTCACACGACTTGTACGTTTTAGTAAATAATCACGTAGTAGAATAAAACTTGTTTCTACTAAAAATTGTGATGTTTTGAGTTCCCAAGGAAATATATAATACTTACGTCGGGAAGTAGGTAGTATAAATTGGATAATATATATCCATATAATGGTCCAAATTGCAGCCTCTTTACATGCACATTGACCATTAACATATATCAGTACAATTAGGCAAATCCATTTCAAAAATAGTTTCTCACAAACCCAAAACTCAACTTAATTAAACTGACGAGAATTTAGTCACACAAAAAGTAAAAACGTCCAATACTACGAAAGTTATCGTGAAAAATTAACACGTTTTAAGAAAGTACAAGTCGCCGCTAATCACGTAAGTTGTGATTAGGATATCGCTTCAATAATAACAATGTATACGCCCGGAATAATAATTCGACGAATATGAAAATATATTATAAAAATACTAATTACCGGACTCGCTGGTGTCCTCGGCCAACTTGGATTGCTAAGTTGCTCGTACTCCTCGTGAGAATTCATACTTGCTGCCGGGGACGAAGGCACAGTGCTCTGGGGCGTCGTAGGGTGGCTATAATGGCCCATATCGTTCTTTCGAACTTTGGATGTAGGACATTGGGGATCTTCACCAGAAGCTGCGAAAAAGAACGAATCAATACCACAAGCATAAACATGTAATCGCTAATATGGATTAGTTAATTATTATAAACCATTTTGGATTAAAATCAGAAGTAAAAGAAAATAAAAAGGGGGTCGGGGTGGCATGCAATAGTGATAATCAATTGTTCTTTTTTTTACTATAGTGTACCTGCTGAAGCGTTCGATAATGTAGACTGCTGCGAACCTTCGTCTACTGGCGTTCCGTCCGGTCCTGTCGTAACGACGGACGTGACAGAACCTGCAGCCGCCGATGTAACATTTGTAGATAAATTTCCGCTAGCTATCGTAGTAATACCGTTATCCATCATGTCGGATGCCATTTGATTATGAGAGTTCGGAGTAGAGCTCGGAGGAGGTTGGGGATGATTATTTGTTATCAATGGGCTAGCGGTAGGCGGCGGCCCCATACTTGCAGGAGGTCCCATCCCGGACATGTGATGGCCGACTGTCGGCGGCCCCATGTGGTAATTTTGCGGAGGGCTCGGGCTCGGGGGCATCGACGAAGGAGTAACATTCGCGAATCCCATCTTGTGGTGTAAATGTTGCTTGAGGTAGTGTGGCTGTCTTGGCGATCCCGATGACGGAGACGAAGCTTGTGGAGGGGCGCCGCCACCGGGAGCGCTCTTGCCTCCGCTAGCCGAAACTGAAGGGGCCACGTGATTTCCAGAACCGGAGGAGGAACCCGCCGTCCCCGGCCACTGTTGTTGATACGGTGGAAACTGCGAGTTGGACATGTGATTCGGTGCTGGCGCCGCCCCACTTCTGTTCGCATACTGCTGGGGCAAATGATTACTCGGGGGCGCTTGCGAACCAGGCGTATAGCCTTGGTACTGCATGTTTCCGGGTGGCCTGGCGGGGTACGCCCCCTGAGAATATTGCTGGTTTGGTTGGTAAAGAGGTAAAGGTTGCCCTGCGACACCTTGCGAGACCATACCGGGGTGCCCTTTGTAGCCCGGATGGACGTGATGGGGCGGGTAAGTGCTTTGGTTTCCTTGCGTCGCTATCGGAGAATGGCTCATTCGACTGTTTCCACTTCCGTCCGATTGCCCACTCGACGGTCTGGGCGGTTGGGGAATGTTTGGCTGACCTAAACGATCAACCAAGCTTAATTGCTTAACTTTTCCCGGATGGATTAAAAAGAAATACTAATAAGATGTAACCAACCCCTAACACCCATGTAACCTTGCCTTTTTATACAAGCTCTACACTAATCGATCTAATACATATTCAACTCAATTTCTTTATCCTTTCTTTCGTTCTTTCTTTCTATCTTTCTTTCTTTACCATCGAAATTGTCCGATTTCGTATTCATTACTTACCTACGGCTGGAGACATAGACCTTGAACCTGTGGAACCTGTCGGGCTTGGTGTAGGTCGCATTCCTTGAGAATTTGGGGTTCCCGGGGCCGCTCCTCCAGAGCTATCGTTGCTGTTACCACCACTCAAATCCTGCAATAACAAAATCAATCTAATACCTAATCGCACATATAGTAACAATAGACAAATACGAATTTAAATCCAAACCAACTCGAACAAATCGATATCAATATCAAACAATTAACGTCCTATCAAAGGGAATTCCCAAAAGCCGAAGTCGAATATGCCGATGAGCGACGCGTAATTTCAGCCTTAACCTAATTATAAATCCCCGTTGACGCCGCTTTGGGATAAATTTAGTGGCATTGACCCAATTAATAGAGCGATGGTGTAAACAACGCGAACAGACGGGACGCGTGGCACGACGTGGAACGCGGGGCCACGACCCGAACGCGATGTGCACTATATATAAATTATTCTCCGGCCGACTGCTTCACGGTCAACTTAGTTTCGTCGTTGTCGAGTGCAACGATCTCGTTCGTCATCCTCGTCATTCTTGTTGTTGTTGTCGTCCACAACAACGTCACAATTTCCCTAACTAATGCAATATTGATTCAAACCAACCCCGTTAAATGCAGTATTATTTATTATGGTAGAAAGATAATAAGAAAATAATAATAATATAAAACACGTGTTTGAGTAATGTGGCGGTAAGAGGTACAAACGGTTTCAGTTTAGTTATCTTGACGATAAGTAAAAGTTACGCAAGAGGCGGGCGTTCGCTCGAGAGAAAGCAAATTTCGTTCGTTTCCGAGTTTAAAAATAGCCAGCAGCCCGACGACCGAAGAATGCAAACGATTTATTTTGAAAACTTTTTATCGACCTTGACCGTGAAACTGACGGTCGATTCACCTTCCTCCGCATATTTTATAGATCGTATGTTTATGAACTCGTCAGCTGTTCTCCTTCGCGTATTTCTCGCGCGAACTTTCCCAGAGATCGACTGTCCCGCTTTCGAACTTACTAGAAAAGGGTAGCAATGATTATAAACATGTAAAAACTGTATCCGCTTGACGTCACTCCTAGAATTCCTATCGAATCAATGTTGAATGTTACGTTAGTCATCTATCGACTTTTTGTTGGATTTTGACCACTTGAACGATTCACGATGTGAATTGTAAGTTTAAAAATAACACAATTATAATCTAAAAATATAACAATAGCAATCTAAAAATAAAACATAAACCGTCCGGTGATTACATATTGAATTAAAATAGGACATTAGTCAAGTGACATTGAACTAATCTAAAACACATCTTTAATGAATGCATAACGGATAACTGTTCGATAATCCAGTTTACCGCTTCTAGTAATCAACGTGATACTTTTATATATTTGTTGAAAATTGTATACAAATTGTATAAAGAAGCAAGATGAAAGTGTTGAGTTATTCAACTGCTCCGTACAAATCTTTTTCCAAGCGAGTGTACTCTAAGGAACATTTAAACATTTGCGAGAGGTACACGTGGGTCGACGGTTACGGCGGCACATGACGTTACGTCCACCACGTTGCCAGTTCCGCTAGAGTCAAGCGAAAACCAGCTATAGGGGTGGCGGTGTATTGATTGCTTTCCGAACGAGACGGCAACGTCGCCTGCTACGCTCGCCGCACTGCACTTCGTTCGCATTCTGCAAGAACGCTTCCAAAACGATCGGCCACTCTACACGGTTCGCTCATAAACACGACAACTAATGTTTACCGATGATGACCCAAAAGAATATTTTAAAAAACTATTATATGAAATTGAATAAAAATATCGAATTTTTAGTTATGTTTTTTAATATTTAATCAATACAAAACTTTCCATTTTGATTAAGACTCAATGGCAAATCATTCACACTTTCAAAACTACAAAAAAACTAAAAGATTCACTACTTACTGCTTGGTCTGGTGCATGCGCGTTTGGAGTAGTCGGTTGCGCAGGCCGATTGGGGAAACCCTAAATCGTATTATAAGTATTGAAAAAAAAATTTTTTTTTAAATAAAATTTGTTACCTGATGTGAAGACGCTGTAGATGGTTGATGTTGAGGACTTGGGGGAAGTCCGGGTCCAGGTGAATGACTTGGTGGTTGCGAGGGTTGTGGTGATGGTTGACTCGCGCCACCAGAACCGGAACCAGAAGGTGGTCCTGGACTACCGGGACCGTGTTGTCCACCTACTTGAGCCCCAGGCCAACCTCCTCTAGGTTCACCATAACCTGGGCTAGACGAAGACGACCCGCTGTATCCAGGCGAGAGCTGCAACAACAACAAATTGACGTTATTATCCCAAAAATGAACGGAGATTTTTTGCTTACGACTGACGCCGTGCTAAACTATCTTGTTTTATATACGGGCCTTTGTCGTAACAAAAAATTAATAATCTTTTTGATAGTTAATTTAAGTAATGACATGAATTTAATCATCACATAGTTGACTCATACGCAATCGGAATCTAATCGCATTGTTAAAAATTTAATTTTAACTCAAAAGTCGTAAATTCCAAATTTTCGATAAAAATATTTCCATTTGTATTCGTTGCGGTTTTGTAAGCTGGGCGCAATCCTAATTACTATATATAAATGAAATTGAGTATGTACGCAATTATATGTATTAAATAATGGACTTTTAGATAGGTGAGATGGGTGGTGTAGAAAGAAAGAAATAGGGTTGAATGAAGAGATGTGAAAAAACGCATGCGAGACGGGTCGCGTTTGCGAGGTGTTAGTTAGGTCGGGTCGACGCATTTTTACGTCGTGACTTTTTACACATTCCGGACGGAGCGGTAGTAAACAAAAAGCACGTGCTCGCAAGGGAAACGTGTTAAACGGACAAATAGCGATATTTTTTATCGTTTAAGCACGTCGCGATTAGTTTTGAATGAAATGAATTAATATACTTACCGTTTGTTGATTTCTGTAAACCGACGTCGGCGGGTTGTTCGAGTAGGGCGCGACGGGTTTCTGCGGGGCCCAAGTTCCGCAGGTCTGCCCGTAAGGGGGTTCCGGATGTCCGTAGTTGTTTTGATAGCGGATTACGGGATTGTTGCTTTGCAACAGCTGATTTAGGGTCGGCGTCGGTCCCGTAGGTTGAGAGATCGCCTGGCCGGAGAAGATGCGCTGAGTAGGCGCTGGCTGAGCCCCGTGCGGAGCGTGAGGGCCTTGGTGGGGCACCACTTGGTGAGGAGCGTGGGGAGCGTGGGGCGCGTGGGGCCCGCCGTGCGGCCCGTGGACCGGGGGCCCCCCGGGCGATTGTTGTTTTCCGATGTTTCCGATGTTCGCGACACCCGGAGCGGAACCCGCCGAAGGTCCGCCGGGGCCCGGACCAGGGCCAGGGGGGCCGCCGCCGCCGTACGGTTGACGCGGCGGGAAGTGAAATCCTCCTCCGCCGACGCCGCCAGCACCTCCTCCTTCGCCGAAGGGGATGCCGTAGCCGGCGGCGGCGGCGGCTGCTGCTGCTGCGGCTGCCGCTGCTGCTGCGGCCGCGGCGGCGGCGTGGCCGTCTCCCTCGGCAGCCGCCGTGGACGCGGGATACTCCGAGTTCGGCACCGAATCGTTTAAACTTTGTTCACTATCGCCGCCGCCGCCGCTCTCGGATCGGTATTGACTCATGTCTAAACCGAGAGTTTTAGGGCCGGTGTTTTTCGTTTTACTCACCGCTACGCCACAACCAGACCTAACGCTACCTTTATCGGTCCCATTCTGCAACAGCGCGCTCCTAACATTCAGATCCGGCTGCACTTTTTCGCCGCTCACGTCATTTTGTTGCTTTTCGGCCTGTGTCGCAGCCATGTTAAGAGAAACGGCCGCGATCGGCTACGAACTGCCAACACCCTGATCGTACCGTTACTCCGCCTTTTATTTTCACATCTTTAACCAGAACCACGCGCCGTAGCATAATAAATCCGTTAGCGGCACCCAAACCACGATTTTCCACACGAAACTTACGGTTTTACCAAATGATCGACACATCTGACACTCAACTTTATTCCCTACACTCCAATAACACGAGTCGAGGTTATGGGAGAAAATCCGTATTCCTACGCCCAAATATTAGATAGCGATTAACCCAACTGTAGCCCGTTTGTCAATTTTACTATTATCGCACGCTTTTATCACTTTCCCATGTACACGTTTACCGATTTTAAGATTTATAGACCTTCGCATTTTCCAGAAATATCCCAACCAAGTTCGCACTACTTTTTACTTTGCTCGTCTCACCGCCGTAATGGCGCTAACGTTCGGGAAACAACTGAAACGCGGTTACGTTTGTGCGAAGCGGATCTTGCGCGCCAAATTCAAAATCGCACTATTTTATTACCACCTTTTCTTTCCCTTAAATCATTCTAATCAACCCCATAAACTCATTTCTAATCCATCTAACATCATATTTATTCATTTTTATTCAAATTTCACTTATAATTTCATCATTTTATTATTTTTATATATTTACATACTCAATTGATTTGTTGATTTTATATAATCGAGCATTTGTTTATCACTAAATTCTATTAACCTTTTTATTATCAAACAAGATCATTTTACAATTACACATTAACAATTCTAATTCTTTATACAGGATGTTCCGGTGACTCGGGGCATAAAATTAACTTAGAGCAAAAATGATGACGATTCGTGAAAAAAAATTATTATAAAAGTCAAAAGTCATTAAAGTTCAGAAATTTTAACACATTTTTCTAAATATTTTCAATACCATTTATGGTAGAGCGTTGAAATTTGGTACAGGGTAAACAAATATCAAGCAAAATCATTGAACCAATTTTGACTTTGATCGGGCGGCGGCAACCATGCTATACAGGCTGTCCCTAAAATTTGTTTGATCAGAACTTTTTTGTTCGCTCGTAACCCTACATTTATTTTTGGACTTTTTAATAAAAAATTTATTTTAGAAACTTTTATCATTCTTTGAAAATTTTGATAACATTGACCGTTTTCGAGTTATATGCGAAAATTATTTAGAAAAATGTGTTCAATATTTAGAAAAATGTGTTAAAATTTCTGAACTTTGATGGTCTCGTTGCAAAATTGTTATTGCAAAAACTACGATTCATTGCTCGTGAATCAGGTTTACTTTATGGGAATGATATTTTGCCCAATACTCCTTACAGTAACATGAGGGTTTTCTTGCCCAGCCAAAACCACGATTTGTTGAACTTCCCTTGCAACACTTAGTAGGCCAGACTTCGAGAAATGCTTCGAGAAATGGCCATGGTGTTTAAATTTAGTCACAGCTAGGCTCACCATACTTTGGCTAATGAGTTGGTGAGCAGGATATGTTGTGAAAAATGGAAAAAGTAAAACCTTTTTGTAAGAAACAACAAAATACTTAATTCATTTCAATAAATAGATATGTTTCGAAACAAATGTTTCATTTTCAGTACTTAAACATAAATTTAAAATATGTTGGGAATAGGTCTGAATTCTAGTTATTTTTCTTAAAAACAAAATACTTCTAAAAAATCCTTTACATAATCAAAGTAAATCCTTAAATTTCTTGGAAATTAACTTATTAAAGATAAGAGATTTAGATTAAAGATGTCAACTACTTACTAAATCAGTTTTTGACACTTAGGAAATTGTTTAAAATAATTGGTTACCATAGTTACTAATGGCTACTGCTATTTTCATCATATCAACAAATCTGAAATAGTTAAACTTTAAAGTAATTTTTCTCGAAAATTTTCTTATATAAGCAATATTAATATTGACTGTATTAGATTCAGAAAAAACTCTTCTTTCATATTCCGTAATAAAAATGGGGGATTGCCATTTGAAAAAAATACCGATGACGTCATAACTCGCTTAAAAATGGCGGAAGAAATTTAAAATCGCGTTTTAGGGACTTTTCCATAAATCCTTTATAATGGTTTTATCGCCTATATCCGTTACTTTACGGACACACTGTATGCGCAGATTTCACATGTCATTTGGCAATTTACTATCAGATTTATATATGTTGTTTGAACTTAATTTTCTTATACAGATATTCGGGCTTACATGAGATTATAATTTTATGGAAGAGACATAAGCTATGAAGATCTCTTTTTTGTTTCATTGACAACCATTTTATATCTTTCAGCTTATGAGTAATTTTATCAAATTTTCTGATACCATAAATATACCTCAGACAACTGTTTTGCACTCTCTGTATGCGGTTAGAAGTCACCACATCAACAGCCGGGTGGTAGAGTGGCGCCATATAATTAAACTGGGATAGAACAAAAGACTCACACAGTTGCTTTTTCAGATCCATCCAGTATTATCTATTCTTAACCCTAAGCATTTGGATTCTTGAACTAAACTGATTATTTCACCATTCATTTGTAGGTCTGCTACTAGCCCTGGCATTACCGAGACACATATACATGGATTTACTTGGGTTCACTCTCAATTGACAGCACCATGATAATCAATACCTGGGAACACAAAATATAACTGTAAATCGTCAGCATACATATTAATTTTACAATACTCCAATTGTTTTGCAAATTGTGACGTGTAAAGTCAGCTGCGGGACACCTGTGGTAATCCTCACCACGCTGGACACATCATCTACCATCTGCGTCCTATCAGTAAGATAATTATTTAATAAGTCAACAACCAAAGTACCACTCCTGACATGATCTTGTGCTCGCGAAACATAAGATCCCATGTTGCAGTGATTTGTGCTCCGATTACTTGGGTATTCTGGTCCACCTGCAGTTAACGTCTCTCATTCCAAGACCGGTTCCAAACGCCACTCACGCATCTCAGAATTTATCAACACGAACTCTTTAATTTCTGCCGATCCGATATCTCTACGATTTTAGAATGTCTGAGGTCCCAGACGCATAAACTTGGGGATTTATCCCTCATGACAAATAATAAGTAGTAGGTGAAAAAAATTGTAGCAAAAGTTTTTTAGTTTCCTAGATATCCATGAAATTTACTTTCAAGTCAAAAATACATATGATTTTAAAATGACATCAAAGTAAGTGTTCCAAGTTGTTTCCAATATTTTCTATACACAATTGGGCTCGCTGACTCGATGATGTCGGTTGGCGGATTGTCTCGGCAGCAGTTTGTATCTGATATTGCAATCCTTGCTCAGTATTAACTTCTTCAGCTGCAATGTTAAATGCCTGTGTTTAACACGGTATGCCAGTGGCATCAGTTCTAAACAGATGAGATAGTTTGGTGTTGCTGTGTAAGATGATTTCTGGAAGCAAAAACTGTACGCTTTGGAGATGATATCATAGCGCTGCCTAAATCTAAGGGTGTTGGCAGATAGTATGTGTAGATACTATACTTTTTAAGTGACCCCAAAAATAAAAATCAAGAGGATTGAGTTTGGGCGATCGAAATGGCCAGTCCAATGGACTACCTCGATCTGACCATTTTCCGGGAAGAACAAAATAGCTCAACGTTTGCTCTTGTTACTTGTTCTAACGTTTTAATAAAATAAAATTTTTATTTAAAAAAATTGACCATGTTATTTAACATAAGTTGATTTTTCTCGAAAATGGTCAACTTTAGAGCTCATGACCTTCAGTACCTTTTTTAGAAACTTAGCTTATTATGAGTTCTGGAACTTTTTTTCAAATTTTTGGACAAGCTATAACATCATGAAGTCCTGCGCATATATTATGAAACATCCTGTATAATTAACAAATTTTGTTTATTACGTATCGATTTACAAAATGGATTTGATAAGGAATAAGAAAATAAATAAACAATAATAAACAACATTTAGTTATTTACTTTTATTTTTTAGACAATCATTTAAATTTAAGAAAAATTATTATTATCGTTATTTTAAGAAACTTTAAAATAGTGAAATTCATTAATTATTAAGTATTATTATAATTAAGTTATTACATACGCTATTTTATTTAAAAATATAAATCAAATATTTACGCGTGTGAACTTAGACATATTAAAAATGAAAATAAACTATATATATATAAAATTCGACAATTCAATGGATATTAATAAGCCAGAAATAGTAAGTCTACTAAAAAAACTCAACCCAACCCAACCCAACTCAACATTCTGAACAAAACTAAAATTCAAGTCAACCAAATTCTCTGCATCAATATGTTCAGTTGTAAGATCACCAATACCAGAAAATATTTGGGAATAAAGAGCCAAAAGTATGTAGCCAAAAGGCAACAAGATATATCTTAGTTGAAAATTAAATATTGAAAATGACCACCAAAAAACTAAGTATTAAATAAGTTAGTTTTGCTATTCCTCCCAAACCCATACTTTCAAAAATGTTAAACATAGCACTAAATATAAAAAATTATAGAATAAGATTCTATAATTACAGTCAATACTTAAAAAAAAAATTTTATTATGTAAGTTAATTTCACACGAGTCTAAAAATTTAAATACTTAATTAACAATTATATTGAATTAAAAAAATTAATAAAGATGTTATTCTAATTAAAAAATTAAGTATGCAAAAAAGAAAATGAAGGTTTTATCATGATGATCCAAATTCATTCATCCACTTATCATATTTATCTAAATCTTCTCTGGAAACGCTTTTATTATTTTTAACAATAGCCTCCTCAAAATCTCGTCTAGTAACAGGCAAATCTAACTCTTCTTTTGGAAGTTGACGAATTTGATCGGGGCGTAACCCATAAATTTTTCGACGCATAGACATCATGGAAGCGTCACGACAAACGTTTGTAATATCAGCACCGGAGTATCCATCTAAATGTCGTGCTATCGCCGGGATGTTAACGTCGGGATCTAATTTGACTTCTCTTAAATTAATTTTAAGTAATGCTTCGCGACCTTCTTGTGTGGGGAGGGGGATGTAAATTCTTTTTTCTAAACGACGTCTTAAAGCCTCGTCGATATCCCATGGAAAATTTGTTGCAGCTAAAACCATAACAACTTTTCCTGGTTCATCATTATTTGCAGTTATGCCATCCATTTGTACTAATAGTTCGGATTTAACTCGACGAGAAGCTTCATGTTCAGATTCTGAACCTCTTCGCGAACACAAAGAATCGATTTCGTCGATAAATATTGTACTGGGTGCGTAAAATCTTGCCATTTCGAATAGAAGTCGAACCATTTTTTCTGATTCACCACGATATTTTGATGTTAAAGTTGATGAGGATACATTAAAAAATGTTGTACCACATTCTGTAGCTACAGCTTTTGCTAACATTGTTTTTCCAGTACCAGGTGGACCAACCATTAAAACACCTTTCCATGGTCTTCTTATACCTTTAAAATAATCAGGCATCCACATTGGAAGTACGACAGCTTCTTCAAGAAGTCGTTTAGCTTCAGCTAAATCAGCAATGTCATCCCATTTAATATTCGGATTTTTTTGAACAATATCACGTTCCAAAACATCGACTAAATCGCGTTCCATACCATGACATTCGAATTTTTTCTCTTCTTCTTGTTCTGGTTTATCCACCGCTTCAACTTCGCGAATTTCTTTTTCAAACTTTCCCAAATCAACTTTTTCACCTTTTGAAGAAGAAGGCCTTTCAACATCCTTCCTGTTATTGCGCCTAATTGGTTCTAATTTTCGAGTCTGATTCGATGATGCAACTCTGGAAATAGTTTTTGTCTTCGAATCTGAACGACGCGAGGAATTTTGAGATTTCGCCTTTGTTGGACCATTTCGATTGGAAAATCCGTGTTCGGCTGGAATTGGTGCTGGCCAAACATCTGGGTCTGTATCAACTATGCTGTTGTATTCTGATATGTCTTTAACAGGTTCATCTCTTGTTACTTTTCTTCCAAAAGGAAGATCTATATTTGTGTCTAAAGTGAAAGTGAGGAGTGTATTACTTATTTCTTTTACGTGGTCGTATTCATCTACAATTTTTCTTTGAACCTAAAATAATAAATGAAATGTGTTAGTATTATTAAGGTTGCTTTTTGATTAAAAAAATTATCAACAAAAAAATTTTTATGGTATTATTCACACTTGATAAGAAAAAATAGTTTTTGGTAAGATTCATTTAAAACAACTCATAATACTTGCTTGTTGCCATTTATTTTTTCTTAAAGGTTCATTTAAAGTGAATATAAATCGATTGAGCATTTGTATGGTGCCTTCATAATAAACTTGTGCACTCTCATAGTTGCCCAACATAGACATTTCCCTGGCGAGTTTGATGTTGTCACAAATTTCCTTGATGGTGACCTCCATGGCATTCTTATGGGGTTCCTCCAAAAACGTAGGATTGTACTTGAAATAGATTAATATCTGTGGATGCGAATGATAAAAAAAAATAAATCAATTGAACATAACCTAAATTATAATTTTATAAAATTGTATAAAATGTACGAACCCCATACAAGGTAAATTTTTATTTCTGTCTTGATGTGTTAATCACTGATGAGTGATGAGTTTTATGTTTTTATTTGTAATAAAAGAAAATGTTTTGCTTTCCCGGAGTTGAAAGATACGTGTCAAATAAAAAAAGTAGGTAATCTTGCAATGTCATTTATCGTTTTGTCTATTTTATTTTTCTAAATTATTCGTAACCACAATAATCATAAAAGGCTTCTTTTTTGAGTGATCATTCACGGAAATAGCTCAATTTAATAAAAAAATATTACAAAAAAATCTGTCATATTGGGATAACTTTACGTTTATGAACGTATCCTTTTAAAGCATTTTTAAAAAATAATTCAATTTTATTAATATCATATCAATTAATCTTATTAATACTAAAATGTTGTTATTGTTAGTTTTCATAAAAATTTATTATTGAAAGAAAATTTAATTAATTAAATTTGATTTAGTTCTATATTACCCACTATTGCGAAGTTAGCAACTTATTGTATTTGAGACTCCATTATCTATCAATTATCTATTAATTTCAACGAACTCACGATGTATTCCGTAATTGTTAGGCTTAAAAGAATATTATAAAGACTTGGTACTAGTGATGGAACGGATAGTGATTTATTATGGTTATAATTTCTGAAGTGATACCCTATATTGCCACATTATTGCGATATTTGAATAAAAAGATATGTCAACTTATTTGGGTCCAAGATACAAAATGAACTTCTTTGACTAACGAAGCAACTTTAAAAAGGGGATACTTTAATTAATAGTTGGTAACATTTCCACAAGAATCCTTCAAGAAATTAATTGTATAGCGAATTTTGAAAATTGCAACATCGAAAATTTTACCAAAACTTCAAACAGTGTTTTCTCAAAAACTAAAAGTTATTTTTCAAAACGTGTTGGTTCATTGGAAAGAGGACACTCTTATTAACACTTTGGGAAATTTTCATACTCTTATTCCAAGAAGTGGATTTTATACGAATTTTTAAAACTTAATAGGCGAAAATTGCAAAATTCGAAAAAATTGTAGATCATTTGAAAAATTTATTTCTCAAGAACTAAAAGCGATTTTTCAAAACGGCTTGTTGCATTAAAAAGAGGATACTTTAATTAATAATTGGTGATATTTCCACAAGGATCCTTCAAGAAATGAATTTTATAGCGAATTTTGAAAATTGCAACATCGAAAATTTTATCAAAACTTCAAATATTGTTTTCTCAAAAACTAAAAGTTATTTTTCAAAACGTGTTGGTTCATTCGAAAGAGGACAATTTTATTAACACTTTGGAAAATTTTCATACTCATATTCCAAGAAATGGATTTTATACGAATTTTTAAAACTTAATCTTCTGTTTTTGTACTTTTGTTTTTAGAAGCGATTGTTCGGAAATGATCTTTTGATATTAAATCATTGTGAGTACCATATGTATGCGGATGATTTGCAGATGTATGTTTCCTTTGATCTACGCGACTTCGCGTTGGGTATTACGAATATGCAAAAAGACCTTGATTACATTCATTAAGTGGCTCGGGAATATGGTCTACATCTTAATCCGAGTAAATCCAATGCTATACATTTTGGAAATTCCGCTATATGTAATGGTTTTCGGGAAAGTATTGATTTGTAAATTGATAGTTGTAACATTCCTTTGGTTAGTGAGGTAAAGAATTTGACACTACCTTGGTATTCATCTGAAAAAGATGTTGTGCGAAGCCTCTGTTTTGGCTCAATTCACTTATTGTGCTGAGGTCTACCATCCGTGCATTGACGTTAGCGATGTAACACAATATGGAATTAGAAAATATAACAGAATATCTTATAAACTGAAGGATGCGGGATGGCTAAATATGTATCATCGTAGGAAAGTGCAGTGTTTGTGGCTATACCATAAAATTGTAAACTATAAGGAACCACAATATCTCTACCAACTAATAACTTTCCGAAATGATGTCCATCGAATAAATACGCGATTTCGCGGAAGATTGTCGCCACCCTTCTATCGTTTGTCTTTATTTCAGAGGTCATACATATTTCAAATAACTTCGAAATATAATGAGGTGGACGATAATTGTAAGGGGTTCTCACTAGGAAGGTTTAAATTTACACAGAAAAATTCTTGTTTTCTTGAACAATGTCTACATGGGGGCAAACGCTGATCTGTTGCTTTGTAATTTTTTAGTCATGAGTCATGTTTTTCTTTTTTTGTTTCTTAGGTTAGTTAGCTGTACTAACTAGTACAAGCTGAAACTCGCCTATTTTCCTTTGTATGTTTTTTTTTATACAATTAAGCTTATTTTCTAATAAAGGCATTTATTATATGTGAGTGAAGAAAGTATTTTAGGAATAATTAACTCCATAAAAACTACTGCGGTTGGTTGTGATCATATTAATATCGATATTATTAAATTTTGTATACCATTTTTATTACCATATATTATACATATTGTTAATTCTTCTATACGTCAAAAAAAATCACTTCCAATGACTATATCGGATTTCAGGCCTATCAATGTCAAAAATTTTGGAACAAGTTAGTTAAGCAAATTCGTCGCCATTGTGATATTAATAAGTTATTACCCAATCACCAGTCTAGGTTTAGGCCGGGTTATAGTTGTTCTATAGCCCTGTTAGAGGTCACTGACAATACTACTACATACTGGCTACAATGCTGTTGGCTTTTGATTTTTCAAAGGCGTTCGATACAATAAATCAAACTACTAATTAATAAACTTCATTACTTTGAATTTTTAAATTCTGCTATTCAGGTGGTTGCTTCTTATTTACATGGTCGATGTTTCTCTGTCATCGATATTGAAAATATCGCAGGGTGTACCACAAGGCTCGGTCTTAGGTCCCCTCTTATTTGCTCTGTACACTGCTGATATTTATACTGTTTTAAAACATTGTAAAATACACTTATACGCGGATGGCACGCAATTGTACTTGCATTTTCCCCCATTGGATGTGGAAAAGGCCTGCGAGCAACTTAATGAGGACACACGGGCTTTGTCTAACTTATGTATAGAGAATAATTTGAATCTTAACCCTCAAAAGTCGTTGCTGGGATTGTTTTGCTAAAAAAAATTGTAGAAATTTCTTAAAAAACAAAATATCTAATGCAGTATTAGTGGGTGGTGTGCTAATTAAGATTAAGATTTGAGCAACATGTAGGTAACTGTTTGCGGGGGGCGTATACTGCGTATAATAAATAATTAAGAACACGTCTTGGTGATACCTTAGTCCTGAGTCGCATGAATTACTGCGACGTGGTGTATGCTCCTAATCTTACAAGGGTGACTGCCTCACGGATACAAAAGTTTCAAAATTGTTGTTTAAGGATGATCCATAGCAAAAGAAAATATGATCATATATCACATACTTCAAAGTAATTAACTATAAGTATCCGCCATATCTGGCTGAGAAACTATCATATACAACAGATGTTCACAATGTGAATATTCGACGGAAAAACGTTTTAACAATTCTGAGACATACTTCCATAAGGTCTTTCTCCTATTTGATTGCCAAGACTTGTAATAATACACCCATTATCACTAGTATTAGTATTTTCTCTTTTTTTTTGGTTTATTAGTGATTTGGTATTTGTATTTAGCTCTCTCGAAATACTGATTAAGTGGAAGAGCAGACGTTCGTAAGAACAGTCTGAACTTCGTCCCTTGTAATATTATTATTATTAATCGGCGAGAATAGCAAAATTCGAAAAAATTGTCAATTATTTCAAAAGCGATTTTTCAAAACGGCTTGTTGCATTAAGAAGAAGATACTTTAATTAATAATTGGTGAAATTTCCACAAGGAACCTTCAAGGAGTTTGATTATTTAGTGGAGTAGGATTTTCTGACAAAATATGGCGGCGGTCCTGATTCTGTCCATATCTGTGTTTATATCTTCTTCCTCTTTGCCGATTTGTTTGCTACTTTTCATTATTTTACTTTTTTTTGCGTTTATCTCCATTCCTGCATGGAATATCAATGATATCTGCTTGCAACTTCTTTTCTGTGTTCTTTGGAGACTTACTTCTGCTATTTTAGGTTCAGTGCCCTAAGGGAGTGTCCTTGTTTGATTCCTTTTTCCATATCGAAACGTTTAGACTCCAACTCCCTTATTCTGACTATTCATGTTGTTCTTTTGTATGACATTGATCCAACGTCAGGTATTCGTGCCGCTTCCATTACTTTTTGCTTGGTCAGAGGAGGAAAGTAGGTGGTTATAATTACCCAAATTTCTTTGAGCAACAACATATATACAAATAAGAGTTTTTTGTATGACACAAATCCAAATGATATAAGAGTATTTTTGAATACCAAAATTTATTAAAAAAAAATTAAACTAGAACTTTAATAACAATAATAGTTTATTTGAAATTGATTAACAAGAATTGTAACGTTGGAAAACGACAATTTTAGATGCTCAAAATGAGATGTAAGAATGTCTTGAACACATTTGATTAGGAAAATGAGTCTTTTTTATGTGCCTTATGAAATATATTAATAGAACAAAAAGTTATGGAAAAGTACTAATCGATTTTTCTGGCACCTCTGGATTTCCATGCTTTGATCAAGTTGAGAGCAAAATACATTGAAAAGCTATGAACTTGTAAAGCCCCTATTATGAATACATACCATAATAAACCATAGGGTAAACCCTAAAAAAAAGAAATGTTAGTTGTTGGAAATATGTTTAGAAAAAATTTCTTACTTGCCACATGTGTATTTCATCAATTTCTTCTTGATCCTCATCAGGATCAGCGTTCATATAAGTCCATACATCTCTAAAATAATAAATGATCGCATAAAGTAATGGTAAATAGCCAAAAGCGATCAAACCAAATAAATATTGCTTCATATGTTTTGGATTATTTTTTCTTACAGATGATAAACCCAAAAACGAGAATAATAGACTAACACACCATATATATTCCCACCATAACGGTTGAGGAATCCTTAATTCCTCAATTTCTAATATAAATATATCTAATTTATCTAATATGTCAGCAGATAATTTAGCTAACATTACAAAGAACAGCATATAATGAAAGAATATTGAATGTTTTAATCTCGACTTATTCAAAGCACTGTAAAAAAATAATTAGAATAATAAATAATAATAGAAATAGTGAAGGTTACGTGTAGAAAAAAAATGTTGATTGACAAATTTTGAGGTTAGTTTTGCATTCTGGGTTACCTTATTTGATATTGGGCCGCTATTCTTTGTCTGTAGCTATGATCGGTTCCGTCGGAACCCGGAGGAATATAATGTAGTCCTTTTGTTGCCATTTTCGTATTTTTATTTCAGTCCATGAACGAAAATAACGCCAAGAAAGTCCGTCCCGTACCACACCGAGCTCGATAATATCCACAAATAAACCGTAAGTTGGCACCCACGTGGCGTTTAATGAAAGCATTTGATCATTTAAAACAAAATTTATCTCATATCATCATATCATCGATTATTTAGATATTTAACATTAATATTTGAGATTGGACAAATCATTTTTTTTAAGTTTACACGTTTTTGATCACATCATGCATGGATGATTTGATGATATATATATTTTTTGTAATATGATACGTAAATAATTTTGCCAAATTGATTACAACTTTATAGAAGTACAAATAATAAGCGAAACTCCCGAAGGTATTGTCAACAAAAATATATCTCTTTACCTGCAAATATCTTTGGCGGTGGTTATATTGAATTTAACCCAATAAACCTTTAGTTCTGATGAGTTCTCATTGTTTTATATGTTTGCACAAGACTTTTCTATTAACTCAGTTGATTGCGTACGAATCGAAATTTTGGTATAAAACGGCGCGTATTCGGGGTATTATTCTTATTCCAACGCTGGTAGTCGAAACGGCAGGATTTATTAACTTTTAAAAACAATCAAATAGTTCAATTTTTCGGCGATGGTACGTTCCGTAATTATTGTTCTGGTTTTATTCACCGTTTCCGTTTGTATTGGACAATTTAATTTTTCCCCGAATTGGGGAAAACGCGGTACCAATGTTATGGATAATCCTAATATAAATGAATGCAAAATCTCATTAGATACTGTTTTAAACATTTACAAAATCATACGGGTAAGTTGTTTTTAAATTTTTATTAATAACACTGTGATGCAAGATTTTTGTACAGTTGATGAGTTGAGTGTTTTTGGTGAAAAAAGAGAACACTCTTTCCAATGAACCAACAATTATTAATTAAATTACCCTCTTTTTAATGCAAAAAGCCGTTTTGAAAAATCAGTTCTTGAGAAATAAATTTATGAAATAATTTTCGAATTTTGCAATTTTTGCCGATTAAGTTTTAAAAATATGTATAAAATCGATTTCTTGGAATATGAGTATGAAAATTTCCCAAAGTGTTAATAAAAGTGTCCTCTTTCCAATGACCGAACCCGTTTTGAAAAATAACTTTTAGTTTTTGAAAAAACAATATCTGAAGTGTTGATAATTTGCAATTTTCATCGATAATTTTCAAAATTCGCTACAAAATTAATTTCTTGAAGGATCCTTGTGGAAATATCACCAATTATTAATTAAAGTATCCTCTTTTTAATGCAAAAAGCCGTTTTGAAAAATCACTTTTAGTTCTTGAGAAATAAATTTTTGAAATGATCGACAATTTTTTCGAATTTTGCAATTTTCGCCGATTAAGTTTTAAAAATTCGTATAAAATCCATTTCTTGGAATATGAGTATGAAAATTTCCCAAAGTGTTAATAAAAGTGTCCTCTTTCCAATGAACCAACCCGTTTTGAAAAATAACTTTTAGTTTTTGAGAAAACAATATTTGAAGTTTTGATAATTTGCAATTTTCATCGATAATTTTCAAAATTCGCTATAAAATTAATTTCTTTTATCAATTATTAATTAATATATCCTCTTTTTAATGCAAAAAGCCGTTTTGAAAAATCACTTTTAGTTCTTGAGAAATTAATTTTTGAAATGATCGATAATTTTTTCGAATTTTGGAATTTTCTCCGATTAAGTTTTAATAATTAAAATTGCTTTTTACTAGAAATCAGCAACCCAAAATTAACTAAAAACACTCAACTGATACACAAAAAAAGTTAAAGTTTGCAGCACAATTTAATTAATCTTTATTAATTATAGAATGAAATGGAGAAAGCTGTTCAATGTAGAGCAAGTAATGATTGATAAAAACATATGTATTGAACGATTCACTCGAATTGTATTAAATATTGTATAAGATATGGTATATTAATAAAAAAAAATTAATATGAGTGGTTGAATTAAGTATGTAGTATGATGACAAATAAATAAAAAATACGACTTTATATAGAGAATATTACTTTAATTTCTTAATTTCTACAATCATAAATAAACCTGATATATTTAAATTGTAGTTAATAAAAGTGTTTTACGACAAAAAAAATATCTTACAAAAAATCGTTTTCTTTTTCATCGATCGCATAAAAAAAATTAATAATAATAATAAATAATTAAACAAAATGGTATACAATATAAACACTATATTACAAGAACGAGAATAATATTAATGATAAAAGGTACGTTATTAAAATTCGGAATCTTCGTTTACATTTAAAATCGTAACCAATTTCAATTTTTTTTTTTTAATAAATTTTTTTGTAAACGAAATTTCCGCAATTTGTTTTATTGTGTAGTGGGTATGGTAACGGTAACGTAATGCTAGCTGTTATTCGCGCAAGGTTCAGTATCTGCACTTGAGTCACTGCTTTCTGAGTCTTGTTGTTTACAACAGCGGCACTGTGTTTGACGTCTATTATTACACTTAGTTCGGTGACACTTTGAGCTGCCGCACGTCGATTTTGACGGCCGATACATCGGTGCGACAACTTCCACTTTAATATTAGTCGTAGCAGTTACTTTTGTTGTAAACGGGCCGCTTGAGCTTGTTTCCGGTGTACTATATTCTACCGTAACTTGCGGTTCGACAACTATACTTTGGTTATTACTCTCTTCTGTAATTGTTGATAAACTTGGTTCGCGGACGGCCCCTCCACTTTTCGAAGACGGAATTGTTCGTTTTGGCACGCGAGACGTCGGTTTTTGAATTGGTGGTTGAACAGGAATTGGAGGAGGCGTCGAAATTCGATCGTTGTGAGTTAACGGTTGTAATTCACTTTTTGGTCCTAACAAAATTAAAATTAACGGGACGGCAAATAACGAGTTTATGATAGAGCCGCAAACCGATATAAACGCGATTTGAAAAATGTAAAGCTGAATAAATTCGAATTGTGACGTGGCGAGGATTCCAATTGAAATTAAAAGTCCGATGTCGCCTTTTAAAATTGGATCGATGGTTATCTCTAAAGACATACGAACACGCTTTTCTCGCCCACCAAGCGCGCTTTGATATCCGGAATATAAAAGTAACACGTTTCTTGTTATTACGACGAAATGAAACGCTCCCATCGGGCCGGTCATGGCGTTTATATCAAAATAAGTTAATAAAAGTAATCCAGCTAATATGTTAATTAGCGCAGTCCATAATTTTTTCCAGTGGATTAATATGCAACAAATAATAAGTCCAACTGTTATAGTTAACGATAATTGTATGAGTAATAATTGTTGGAACGCGATGAATTGGTAAAAATAAGAAAAAATTAATCCAATTGGATAATTTTTTATCCCCAAGTTATTGTATTCATCGCTAATTGCTTTAATTTGTTTTAACGTCTCCATTATTTTTTGAGTTGTGCGCAAATCTTTTAAATAAAACGGCATTTGCGCGTAATTTAAACGTTGAGATTTTCGAATTATCAATTCATGTTCGGTTTTCACACTCGAATACTGATGCGGTCTTGGTTGAAGATTAGCTTGCGCGCTCGAATAAGAAAACGAATCCGTCGTACCCCACACTGATAAGTAATAATAAAAAGCACTTGGATCTATAATCCCATCAACAACCAACTTCTTAGTAAAAATTTGACTTTTATCAACAGGAAATTCCACCATTCCCGTTTGTGCCAAGAGGCGAAACGCAAGAACCGCATTTTCCGTCGCATTTGCGAACCATTTATCACTATTAGCGCAATGACACTCATGAAATTGGTTCTGCAAGTCGATTAGGAATTCGCGGAAATTCGCCAGCCAAAAATTATTCATATTCAACCCTCCGTTTGAATCTTTCAAAACGTTCGGAACATTCGTCAACGTCGAGTGATATTTGTACAAAAGATGTTGATCCAAAGGATACTCCACTTCCGTCGTGACCAAATAGAAATTATAAAAACCAAAATAACGATTTTGCGCTTCTAAATAGTGGTACTCATCCATAGTTGCTGGTAAAAACGATGAGAGCCGAACTTGACAAGAAATTTTCATCCCATTATAAATAAAAATACTTATAAATCCCAAATAAGATAAGCACAAAAGCACTTTCATAACAGGCTGGAGAATTAACCCTATTAAATAACGTTTCACTAAAAGCGCAAGGATACTTTTTTTATGTTGACAAATCACTTCGGCTGTTAAAAGATTTGCGTCATGTTCCTAAAAACAACAACACAAAATTAGTATTATTACAACTTAATAAAAAAAATTAACTCACCGGATCGGCGTTATTAATATTATTATTATTATTACTATTATTATTCTCACTCGGCGGAATTTTACTCTCATTCCGAAAACACGGAACTCCCGCTCTTCGAAATCGTATTTGAAGCGCCAACAAAGTCGGGAAAATAAATAAAAGCGTCGCACCGTGAAAAACCGCCAATATCGCAAATTGCAAACAAAATATCCTTATGGCGGGCGTCGGGAAAATAGCTCCTATCAAAAAAGCCGCCGATCGAAGCATCGTCGACGTCAAAATCGTCGGTCCCGATCGTTGAAGGATTTCCGATGGCGACAAGTTCCGGTTTTGCGTCGACAACAAAATGAACATGTCTCGCATCGCCAAACCGACGCTCAAGTACGGAAGAACGTGTGTACTTAGCAAATTCATCGGGAATCCCAACAGACTGCTAACTCCTAATCCTGCAGCTGTCGCGGCTACTAAAAGAATCGTCCCAAAAGCTGCCAAACCACTTTGGACCATCCAACCGTAAATGCAAACGATCGCCAGAACTATTCCAATTCGAATATAATCCATTTTCATATATTCTACAAGACCTTTGTTTAATGTAGCTGTTGAAAATGCGTGAAATGAATACGACGAGGATGTATTTTTCTTTAACCTTTGAATTTCCTGAAATAAATAAAATATATTAATTTATATAATAATAATTTGTATAATAACGCCATTTGTTTCTGGCTTTGCGGGTGTTAAATAAAAAACGTAGGATGCATAAAAGCGTTCAAGATAATATTGTTAATATTATCTGAGACGCAGAAGAAGCAGCACGAGTGTCCCTGAAAGTATTTGGTCGCTATTTGCTGAGTATTTGTGGGAGCGTGATAGGTTTGTCTAATATGTCTGTTGGGTCCGAAGTATAGAAAGCATTGAGGTCTTATATATAATCTAGCTGTTGTCCCCACCACGGCTAAAATGAAGCCAGAAAGGTCGCCATGTTAGATGTACCAACTTATTTTTATATATACTTATTTTCTTTTTCAAATCTGATTGATCACATTAATCTTTTGCTTATAAATAATTGTTAGTTTATTTTAAAAGAATTGAACATTCCTTAATAATAAATATTACTTGAACATCAATTGTTAATTTCAAGTCGAGTAACCAGAAACATTTTATGGACTATTGTAAATAATCTTCCAATCAGTGTTGCCACACAAAGAAGGTGTAATACCGTACTTGAAAACGAAAATTACAGTATTTTATGTAAAAATACCGTACTTGTACTAAAAATGAGTGATACAAAAAGTTAAACTAAAACTAACACTAGCACTATCACTGGAATGAAAAAAAATGTTTGTCATTTCGGATGCCATGTTGCAACCTTCTTCAGAAACAAGTTTGAAGTGACGAATTCGGTTAAAACGAAGCCTTCTCCACTCGGATTTGACAAACACAACTTACTTGACAATTGGACAAATTAGTTATTAATTACCTTTTCATGTATTTATTGTGAATTTTTTTCAAAAAACGCTTAACCCGAAAGTTTCTAGGTCTAGTGTTAGTTCTAGTGATAGTGCTAGTGTTAGTTGTAGTTTAATTAACACCGGCCGTGAAAGCCTTCGTACTTATAATACAAAAAGTTTTGCGAAATAAATTCTGTAAAATGAACTGTGCAAACAAATAGGTAAAAAGTTATTTTAAATATAATTAATAGCTTTTTACCATCTTGTTAAATCCACGTTTCTCCGTAGATATTGAGTATTTTGGAGAAAATACTCACGTTATTTTTAAATAACGTGTTTTTTTCCAAAAAAAAAACAGGCAATAATATTTTTATTGAAAAGAAAAATGGCAATTGTTGTACCATTTTGGAATCTTGACTAAACACGTCCTCTTTTACAATTACTAGCCAAGTATTACTCCGTTTTTGCAACCTTAACTCAATCATTAATAAAAGAAAAATAACTTCTTTCTTGCTTTTTTATTAAATTTCCTCGGTACCGGTTTCGACTAAACAGTCATCCTCAGCCGAATCTACATATATGTTAAAAAAATAATAATGGAAGGTGATTAGCTTTCTCAAAAAATATATCAAAAAATTAAATCCAAAGAACCTTCCATTATTTTCATTAAGTTTTTATGCATGATTTATTTCATTATGATGACGGTGTTCTGAATATTTCATAATTAGATTTATTTGACTGTAAGTGTATTAATTATTGAAATAAGTTTTTATGTAAAATATTTTTTAACATATATGTAGATTCGGTAAAAGCAAGAAAGAAGTTATTTTTCTTTTATTTCTTAATTATATATAAATCTTGCAACATGAATTAACTCAATCAAACTAAAATTTTGTTCACTATTAAATTACGAACCTTAGCTAAAGATATCATCTACTAAAGATATCACTTAATTAAGAGACATGGAATTTTTTTATTATTTTAATTTGGCGTAAAATTCAAAGAACGGGATTATTGTATAATTTAATTTGTCTTACTAGTTTCGCCTATAACGGCATCTTCAGAGACTTGGTCAAAATTTTATGAAAATAACAACTTCAAAGATAATAATTAACGAAATGTTTTACACGTTAATACTTACATTATATAATGTATAGTATATGATTATACACGTTAAAATCAAAATGGTTGAAGACTTACATATCGGAATTAATAGTTTAAAAAGTTTATCAAGACCTCATTTTATACAATGTTCGATATAATTATCTTTGCAGTTGTTATTTTCATAAAATTTGACGAAGGCTTTTAAGATGACATATTATTTTAATTTCTCGCGGTACCTACTATTCGGGACACCTGTGATACAGAGCGAAAATTTAAACACAGAATTAGAATAGACATGAATACACAAGAATATTAGTGGTTTTTGTCTTTACAGCATTTTACATCCTGCGTATAATACGTATTTTCTTAACCTTCGAGCGGGCGCGTGTCGTAAATTTTTTGACATCAGGACCGTATTAATAAGTATTACGTTAAACACACATTTTGCTAGAGTAAAAATATTTAATTAAGACATAAAGACGGCTAAACCCGCATGATTCTAGGTCTAGTAATATAAGAATACCTATACTAACTATTTCCATAAACTTACGAAAAACCGAAAAGATTGAAATATTGATTCAAAAATGTGCAAACTATCCGAAACCTTCATGTATGACTCAAAACCTATTTATAATACATTTATTTCCCTTAATACATCCCATAATATAAATACGGCCTTATAAATCAGTAATTAATGTGTAAATTTTTTGCTATAAAGACAACGTCAATATATTTTTTTTTTTTGAATTTGTATTTTTATGATCAAAATACATGAATACTTTAGCGTTAAATCCTTTCAAATGCATAATAGAAGGAGATATATTATAAAAACAAAAATAGTCATAAATTTTATGACAGCGCGCCCTCTCGAAAGTTAATTTCTAAATTACCGTACCTACCAAATTATAAAAAACATATGTGAAACAAAAAGAATTCGAAAATCTTCACCAAAAATAAAATTTTAAGAAAAATAACAATTTGTTTATGAGAATTGTGAGGTTATAATTGTAGGTACAATAGAGACTTGAAACTATAGCTAAGTTCAGGTCGGTTCATCCAACATGTCCGACTTTCTGATTACCCCCACCACCACCACATACGCATTCTAGATTATATATAAGACCTCAATGACAGAAAGCATTATATGAGATCATAAGCATTACATAGATAATCTTGATTAGGAACTGCTCTGAGGCTATGGCAATACCCCTACAGTTAATTTATAATACAGTTTTGCAACAGAGGATTTTCCCAGACGCGTGGAAGCAGGAAAACGTAGTTCCAATTTTCAAAAATGGTGCTAGGAATTTAGTTACTAATTATTGCCTATTACTTGCAAGGTTTTTGAGAAATTACTATACAGGGTGGGCAAATTTGGGTGTTATTATAGGCTATCTCAGAAACTATAAGAGATACGAAAAAAGTAGGTGCCATGTCCCGGTCTCTTTTTTCGAGACTAATTCAATCCCGTAAAGACCAAATCTCTATCTTCTTTTGTTTTTAAGTTATAGCCAAAAAGTCAAATTTTAGTGATTTCAAAAAATGCTCATATTTCGTTTATTTTTGAAATTAGAGAAATGGGGTTAATACATTCTTAAGACACTTTTTTGAGTAGAATATACTGCCGTTGAAAAATTTTTAACATAGCTGATAATTTTTGAGATATAACATAAAGTTGTATTTTTTTAAATACAAACTATACTTTATTATGATGTTACTGAAAAGAGCATATTTTTAGCTTTCCAATGATGTATCGCACGCATGATGTTTCTGCGGAAAATAAGCGTTATTTTTCAATTTTTAAAATATTAAAGATTAAAATTCAAATTTTTAATTATAGTAGGCGAGGAAAACGCTAAATACTACTTAGTTACTATAGCAACGTGAGTTTACTTGTCATTTCATTCATGAATTTTGCGAAACGAGTTTCCCGTTTAAGAAGTTCCGCATTATCTTTAAATAAAACGATAAAATTAAATATAGAATATATTGGAGTCCGCTTTGAAGATGATACATAAGTCTTCATATCCCCATTCAAACGGTGTTTCAATGGAAAGTCCGCTCCCAGTTTATGATTCCTAATTTTCCTCTATCTCACCCAATTTCAAAAGAAAAGATTGCTGATATCAAAAAACTTCTACATCTTATGTTTGGGGAAAACTGGGAAAATACTACCGAAGATTTCATTCATTGATACCGAACTGTTCTAATCTTACAACCAGTAAGTTGAGTAGAAGAAGATGACAGTTTATGACTGTTTAGTTCCTGAAGTTGTCCATATTTAATTATTCATTAATTAATACATTTCTTGTATTTTTAATAAACAAACTTTAAATGCTAATCATTTTTTATTGGTAAACAAAGTCAGGGATAAGATGCTGAGAAATTTAAATTAACTATTCAAAGTTTTTATTCGTTGGTACAAAACCAACTTATCCTGAATAATGGTACAAAACCAACTTTATTCTGTCATATTCGTGCAAAACCATATATTATAGCCACTAGGTAGTATTTACTGTCCGGACACGCCTACTATAATCAAAATTTTGAACATTAGCGCTTACTATTTTCGAATTGAAAATTAACGCTTATTTTCTGCAAATACACCATACATGCGATACATCATTGGAAAGCTAAAAATATGCTCTTTTCTTTAACATCATAATCAAGTATAGTTTGTATTTAAAAAAACACAACTTTGTGTTATATCTCAAAAATCATCAAGTATATTTAAAACTTTTCAACGGCAGTATATTCTACTTAAAAAAGTGTCTTAAGAACGTATCAACCCCATTTCTCTAATTTCAAAAATAAACGAAATATGAGCATTTTTTAAAATCACGAAAATTTGACTTTTTGGCTATAACTTAAAAACAAAAGAAGATAGAGATTTGGTCTTTACGGGATTGGATTAGTCTCGGAAAAAGAGACCGGGACATGGCACCTACTTTTTTTGTAACTCTTATAGTTTCTGAGATAGCCTATAATAACACCCAAATTTGCCCACCCTGTACAACAGCGTATTTTTTCCAGTCAAGTGCGTTGGTTTGGTTCCTACGTGTCTGAACACACCCAAGTGACTCTATAGACATTTATAGTGACTTTTGGCGTGCCTCAGGGTAGTCAACTGGAACCACTACTATTTTTAATATACAAAAAAATTTGTAAAAGTCTTCAAATTTCAAAGATACAGACCAAACACTTAATAAACTAAGTATCTAAAACACTATTTCCAGTAATGCGCTGAAATTTGGTACAGTATAAATCAATGCGATGAAAAATCATTACGCAATTTATGAGTTCCGATATACAGGGTGTTCCTAAAGTTTGTTTGCTCAGAATTTTTTTATTCTATCATAACCCTACATTTATTTTTGCAGTTTCTAATAGTAAATTTAGTTTAGTAAGTTTTATTACTGTTAGATAATATTGATAAAAATCACCGTTTTCGTCGTAAATGCAAAAATGTTGGGTTCCGATTTCAATAATAGCACTAAAAATGTATTTCAAAAAAATTAAAAACACATTAATATAGAAAGAATAAATTTTTTAGTAAATTTTTTTTAGAAATTAGAATATTTTGTCCTCTTGTTCAAATAAATAAATAAAATAAAATATTTACCTGTCCAAATTTCTTTTCCCACGCATTTAAAATCATCGCGGCTTTTTCATGTGTCCATCCAATGTGATATACTTTATAATGAAGTTGATAATATTCGTATAATTCAAATTTGTCCATTAATTGCAAAACACTTTGCAGAGCTTTAGCGTGACGAATATGTCCCGTTCGATTTTTGGTGACGCCGCCGACGATTAATTCTTCGGGCCAATGCATGTATTTTGCCAGAAAACCGTGACACCCGTTTGTTAAAACGGCACCGATATCGAGTGGTTTTGTTGAATTGAAATTTGGAGCGGTTTTGGGACATTCTGGATCTTTGGGATTTAGACATGGTTTTTCTTGGTAACCCGTAGTGATTCCTCCTCGGCGGAATAAATCGTCTAATAGTTCGTAATCGAAATTTGATAAATTTTCTTTCATCCAATTTACTATATCGGTTGGATTTAAATTCGTCCATTTTATGTTTTTCTTGTATTTTCTGTAGCGAAAGGAATTCATATATGAATTAGTTTATTTGTATTGATTCTTAATGAGAATAACGTGCGCCGCCCACCCAAGTAGAAGTTGACGCAACAACACACTATCGACATTGTTTGTCAATGAATCTGAACTTTGTTTAACGTCTCCTCCCCTTTGATAATGCGGCATTGTAAATTATTCCACGTTATCTACCATTCATGAACAATGATTGGTCTCAATTATAATTAAGGAATTAAAATACTTACGGCAAAGCAGTGGGATAATCAGGTCCTAATAATTTCGATCCTTCCCAAAAACAATCTAAAGGGGTGATTATGGTGCAGGGATTAAGTTTGTCGTAGGTGTGTTGTATGTATGAAAATTGTTCATAATTTGGAATACCCGGAGATCGGCAAATGTCTTTTAATTTCCAGGTTATATCAAAAAGGGTAACAGTGACCTCGCTCGCTTTTTTCAAAATGTCCAAATGCTCGAGGAGGCCGTGCGTATGCAAAAGACTAGAATCGGGATCGACGGCGGTTTGAATAAGCATTTGGTGCGTTGATAAAATATCTTGTTGGGGAGCTTCCTCTTGCGGCCTCGGTTCCGCCCAAAGTTGTTCAATTTCCGTGTGGAAGGTCGAACTTTTTAGGCCAACGCAAAATGTTGCGATTATCAACAAACCCACAAAGAGGACTTTACCCGCGTGGGCATCCAGAAATTTTCCCAATGATAATAATTGCTTTTGTAAACGACTCCGCAACCAAAGTACACCTCGATCTCCTGTTGCTCTACCCTAAGGAAGAAGAAAATATATTTTTAAATTATTAATTAAGAAAGTTTTTTTAATAAATTATTTTCTCGAAAAGGTCAAAGAAACGGACCGCTTTTAAAAACCCCTGAATAACAAAATTTCCGAGAAGGTTTCCGAGAAGGTCTCCGCAAAGAATCTCCGCTAAGACCCCGAAGGGGAGGCGAGACATCAACCCCCGGGACCGGCGCATTATTTTATTTCATCTCTCTCTAGCACCGTGCGCATCGTCCCGGTGGAGACGAGCCGCCACTGACCGCGACCACCCAAGTTGCTTCCGTGACGTCACAGAGGCCACCCAAGACGCTAAGAGCGCACAACATACGGACAATTCTACCCCACCACATTTCTCGAGATGTCCTTCCTAGAAGGACCAACTACTATACTATACGACATTTACTACAATATATATATATATATATATATATATAGATATTTTGTTTTAATTAATATTTTAAATGTAGATATAATTAAAATAAATGTAATAATGCAATTAATATAAAATTATTACTATTACATTTATTTGAGTGGTTTTGTTGGAATTGTCTTTAAATTGTTATTAATTTAAATGTATGTTGAAAAAAGAAATGAAATCGAAGTAAAAATAAAAAAAAGTTTTGATTGCGGAAACGAAAATGTAGAAGAAGAGTGGGTGTAGTAAAGGAGCGGAGTAGTAAACGCCGGCAAAAGGACCTATGGATGGAAGGACCGTAGAGAAAGGCGGTTGTGAAGAGGGACGGGAGGGGAACCAGGTAACTTCAGCTAGCAGCGGACCACACACGTAGGCGCCGCCGGTGGTCCATTACCAAGGCTAGCATAATGTAGCATATCGGGCCGGTTCTTTCTAAAAACCTATCTATCTATCGAGCCTGAGGACGGCCCGGAGCGGACGAAACGTCGCCGGGGGCGATTATACTCGTCGCTTTATTTTTTAGGGTTCTAAACGAAACGAATTTGTGCGATTTTGAAAAAAAAACTTAGTTTAGGGATTTGTTATTTACCTGATCCAATTCGGCGAGGGCGACCGAGGCATCGGCCCATCCGGGCCTGGTGTACAAGTCGGAAGTGTGCCTTCTGTCGGGTGCGCCCCTGCAATCGGCCATCCTCAAAGCGAAGACGAACTGACGGTTGCCCTTTCTGAACGAGTACGCCACCGCACGAAGTTCTCCGTTGAACGGGAGGAAACGGCTCCGGACGGTTCCATCTCCGGGCGGGGGCGGTGGTTTCGACGGTGACGACGGCCGGTTGTAACACTACCGTTTCGGTCCACCAGGTGCACCACCGACTGTTAGAAGAACGGAACTTATCGTAAACGTGATCACTATCGAAAACAACGACGGGGTGTCGTTGTTGTTTTGGCGAAACCTGCTAGGTTCGGTTGCGACTGTGCGCGAACGATTTTGCCTTCTACCTTCTGCGTGGTGCTGCAACCGACTGGTAAACTGTCGAGTGTCGAGGCGGTCGAGGCGGTGTTACGAACAGCAGCGCGCTGAACGCGCCGAACTCCCCGTTAAGCCCCCCCACGGTACCCCGCGTACCACTGTGGTTCTCGCCGATCTCCCCGAATACGTCCGCAAGACCCGAACGAGGAACGAGGACCCTACTCTCTAACACGATACGGTACGACCGTCTACGAACGTGGACCACACGCGCGTCGTGTTTAGAATGTAAATTCTCCCAAATTACGTTACTTATATATATATGTAGACATTTTTTTCTTTTCTGTTTGCCTCGATCCTCTACGCTCCGTACTTCCACGTTTTAACCATTCTCTCTTCCATAAATATAAACCATTTTCCATTTCAAACGCTTTATTTTCTCTAATCACCACCTGTTGCTTTAATTCTATTAATGAATCATCTAGATTCTAGAATAACCAATCAAGCGGAAATCTAACTACAATCACGAAGGCTCCAGAAACATTCTAGAATTATTATTATTAATGTATAGATAATGCGAGATGTGAGATCAAATGAGATCTCGAATGCTCCAGAAATATTCTGGAAGTATTTAGAACAATAACAATTTGGAGAAATTTTAAATTAGAAAGTTATATTTTTTATCGAATCTACATTCTAGAATGTTAGAAAGTAAGCGGAAATTTTATCAAAACTTAAAATATCGTTTTTTCAAAAACTAAGTTATTTTTCAAATTATTATTAACACTTTGGACAATTTTCATACTCATATTCCAAAAAATCGATTTTATACGAATTATTAAAATTTAATCGGCGGAAATTGCAAAATTCGAAAAAAATTTCGATCATTTAAAAAATTTACTTCTCAAGAATTAAAAGTGCTTTCTTCAAAACGGCTTGTTGCATTAAAAAGAAGACACTTTAATTAATAATTAGTGATATTTCCACAAGGATCCTTCTAGAAATTAATTTTATAGCGAATTTTGAAAATTGCGGCATCGAAAATTTTATTAAAAATTCAAATATTGTTTTCTCAAAAACGAAAAGTTATTTTTCAAAACGGGTTGATTCATTGGAAAGAGGACACTTTTATTAACACTTTGGGGAATTTTCATACTCATATACCAAGAAATGGATTTTATACGAATTTTTGAAACTTAATCGGCGAAAATTGCAAAATCGATTATTTCAAAAATTTATTTCTCAAGAACTAAAAGTGATTCTTCAAAACGGCTTTTTGCATTAAAAAGAGGATACTTTAATTAATAATTGGTGATATTTCCACAAGGATCCTTCAAGAAATTAAATTTATAGCGAATTTTGAAAATTGCAACATCGAAAATTTGATCAAAATTTCAAATATTGTTTTCTCAAAAACTAAAAGTTATTTTTCAAAACGGGTTCGGTCATTGGAAAGAGGACACTTTTATTAACACTTTGGGAAATTTTCATACTGATATACCAAGAAATGGATTTTATACGAATTTTAAAACTTAATCGGCGAAAATTGCAAAATTCGAAAAAATTGTCGATCATTTCAAAAATTTATTTCTCAAGAATTGAAAGTGATTTTTCAAAACGGATATTTTAATTAATAATCGAAAGTGACAACAGCGACAGTTTTGTTAGTAATGAATGTGATGATGAATTACAAGCGAAGCTGCACCAAGAGATTTTATATCGAATGCTCCAGAAATGTTCTGGAAGTATTTAGAAGATTTCGAACGTTTTATATTTTTAAAAGTTACAATTTAAAATGCAGCATCTAGGGTGGCTACAACAACAACAATTTGTAGAAATTTTAAATTAGAAAGTTATATTTTTTATCGAATCTACATTCTAGAATGTTAGAAAGTAAGCGGAAATACAGCTTTTAACGAGAATATTCAAAATCATTTTCTAAATTATGTTATGGGATCTAGAAAATCTAACTATTCTTCCTAATATTCTAGAAACGAGTAATTAATTCTATATTTTCAAACTTACACACGTGGATTCTAGAAGTGTTAGAAAATATTAATTAATTAATTATTAATTAATTCTTTTTCAAGAAATCTAAAAATTCCAAGAAGATAAGGATATTGACTTACATTTTTCCAAACTTTTTCAACATTATTTCTTCCATTTCAAATGCCTTATTTTTTTTTAATCACCACCTGTTGCTTTCATTCTATTATCAATCATCTAGATTCTAGAATAACCAATCAAGCGGAAAACTAACTTTGTACGCCACAATCACGAAGGCTCCAGAAACATTCTAGAATTATTTCAAAAAATTTACAAATAATAATGTAAAATAATATATTAATGTATAGATAATGGGAGATTTGAGTTTTCAAATGAGATCTCGAATGTTCCAGAAATATTCTGGTAATATTTAGAACGTTTTGTGGAACATCTAGGGTGGTTACAACAATAACATTTTGGAGAAATTTTAAATTAGAAAGTTACATCTNCATAAGGATCCTTCAAGAAATTAATTTTATAGCGAATTTTGAAAATTATCGGTAAAAATTGCAAATTATCAAAACTTCAAATATTGTTTTCTCAAAAACTAAAAGTTATTTTTCAAAACGGGTTGGTTAATTGGAAAGAGGGCGCTTTTATTAACATTTTGGGAAATTTTCATACTTATATTCCAAGATATCGATTTTATACGAATTTTTAAAAGTAGTGAGTACCAGTCAGAAACGAGTTATGAATCTCCTATTGGTGTAGGTTCCTACAATTTCAAATTACATGTTTGGGTCCCTACTTTTCCGCATTTACTTTTGTATCTTTTGCATCTTTGCCTCATGAGATGGCGCTGGTTTGTTTTCCCTCGAAAATGAAATAAAAATTAATTATTTTAGTTTATTAATTTATTAATAATTTTAATTAAAAATTAAACAGATTTAACAGACTTGATTCAAAATAATAATTAAATTGTAATACTCTATAATATAATATTCTAATAGAAAAAATTAAAAGAATTTAATTTGATTGATTTTACAAAATTTATAGAATCGTGATAAAATGTAAATATCCAAGCTTATTGTTGGTGGGTTAAGGTAATAAGAAAAATAAGTACGCCGTTATTGAATATAGTCGACGACAATCCTAGTTTATTAAAACGAGAAGGAGGAAAAATGAAAAACAGGGAGAATTAATCGGTTTCGTGATGTCGAGGTTGAAACGACCCTTCATAAATCTCGGGAACAAACAGAATTTCTCGTAAATAGGTCTGGATCCTAACTGATGCAACAAGTAACTGTTGCGGACGGCGCCGTCTCGAACAATATCCCACGGTTTATCAAAATTTATTGCGAAATAAACCTACATCCGAAACTAAACCGTGTAAAAGGTTTTTTTGCCACCACAATTTCGTGTCTCGTTTATACCAGTACATTTTGTATGAAAATCCCTCTGGTGTATAATTTTATTTGTTTTGATTTATCTGCATATAAAACCTATTTTGAGGAATTTCATATTGGTCAAATTGAAAATCGATTTGGTTATATACTGAAATTGATAACTAATTGCATGGGCGTCCGTGTTCAAAAGGAAGAGGGGGAGTTGTGCGGCAACGGAAAAGGGGGTTGGGTGAGGACGTATTAGGGGAGACTGCAATGCGGAGGCGGCGGTTCCCCGGGGGTTATTTATTACAACTTCCCCGGGCATGACGTTTCTAATAAATACTCGTCCCTGCTGAGGACGGAGACCCGAGGCCGATACTTTAATTTAAAACTTCCCAAACCGGACCGTTGACGTTTTGAAATGTAATTCGGCAACTTTCCGCAGCCTCGTCGATCGGAATCGTTCAAACTACCGACCAACTTTAATTAATAATGTCCCAACTCAATACGCCCATTTCAAATTTCCATTTTTTTTTTGATAATTCTGAAAATAGCTTAATCGGAATTTGTCCAAACTTGTTAAAAATTATTCAAATTTACTTAATAAAAACTTCGACAACCAACCCCTCTTCGAAAACTTGTTAAAAAGTTTAAGTTAAGTTTTTTTTTTAATTAGATTATGTTTTGCAGCTTTTCCCAAATCGCTAATTAACATATAATTATATGTTTCACTTGACACATCTGTTACATCCCTATTCTCGTTTTCTAAGTTTAGTCCATTAATGATATATCAAAATTCGAATGTGTTTCTTAACCTCAACCTTATACAACGAGACTCCTGAGGATGGTCTATCCCGAAACCGGTAGAGTTAATAAATTTATAAAATATGTTGGAGTATAAACATTGTTTATTTTTAAAAACACAAAAATATAGTAGGCAATTGGTACCAACACAATTGAATAATTGGATGCTCTTATGCAGGAGGAAGAATACTTCACACTACTTAACAGAGGTACCAGAACAGCACCTGGATACGAAGAAAAATAAGAAAAATATACAACTATTGCCTTACTACCCAGCATTTCCCACAAGATTGGAAGATTTATCAGTTTTTCAATGTCTAACTTTTTTAGAGCGATTTAAGCGAATTATAAATTAATTGAATTATAAATATTTATAAATAAGCTCTGCGGGGAGAGGGGGTTTCCGTCTAATCGGAAAAGATGGTGCGTTCCAGACAGTACGTCGCGCCTTCATCTTACCTACATAAAGAAATAAAGACGCGACGTCCTGTCTCTGGAATACACACCACGACTATCTTTTCCGAAAATCATGTGCATAGATGAGCATCGCTGCACGCCGTAACAGAACGGGAAGGGATTTCAAACGTGCTGTCCGCCGGAGTTTAAACCACGGTTTATGTCAAAATTTGCTGGTTTTCTTCGTTAAGAACATGTGACAATATATTTCTCTGTCAGTCAGCCAACTTTTCTGCCATATACGTCGTTTTCTTTTGTCTTTAAAGATTCCCATGGCCAACACCGCACATGCAACAATACAAATTTTTCTCTTTTTACCCATCACTTAACAGTCAACAAACGACTTGAAGACGCAACGTAAATCACGTTGAAAATTTCTACATGACACGATAAATGACACTTTTTTACCAAGTGTATGGAACATGACGCTTTTTTGCCATACCGTTCTTTCTCGCAACCGTTCTACCAACCGCCACATCT